AGGATATAAAACAAATATATTCCTTTGGTCTGTGTATTTATACAGTCGAAAATAATGAATGTTTTCTGTAAGTTCTTTGTATAAACACTCCTTCCTGCTTTTAGATTCAAGAGAAATTGCTAATGGTTAGAAGTTTAATTTTGAAGTTAGCACTTTTTGAAGTGAATGAAGAAAAATTATATCAAACGTTTCCTTTTTCTGAAAACGTTATAACTTGTATTTCTTTGCTTCCTTTTGTGGTTAAAAGAAAAAAAAGTCTTTCCCATTGTCTAGTATGCTTATTCAAAGTAGCTAACAAAAGAATTGCTTGTGTTTCCAAAATATTTTTGTTGGTTGATCATGTAACTGTAATTATTGCAAACAAAATGGAGGCAGGTTTGCATTCTATGCAGATGATCAGCAAAATATCAAGCATTTCCCCCTTTTTTTTTCTTTTTACTTTATTTTAAATTACCTTTTCCTCTTTAGCCTGTCAAAAAATATACATTTGTACCTTACCTCAGCCCATCTGGGCTATAATGTCTATTTTATATTTAATACAAAAAGATATAATCTTCATAGCTATATCAACCATACCAATGTTGGTGTCACTGAAAAGATATAATCTCTCAAACTGGATTAATGTCATTTTCTGAAATCAGGTGTTTCTTAAAGTTGTAAGCTGTCAAGTCGTTAAATGTTGTTACAAAACACCTCCCCCTTCTGCATTGTTTTTCTTTTTCTACCTGAAAAACGTGGCTTGACCTTTATTTTTCTGCAGGGATAAATTGTGGAAGAAATACCCTGTGAAATTGTAAGGCAGGGTAGGAGATGGCTAATGTTGTTCACTTTTTTTTTTTTCTCTCTCGCTCTCTCTTTCTCTGCACAAATTTCTTTACTTTTCTCTCTCTTTTCTTTGCTTTAAGGCAATTTAAAATGAACAGAATTTCAGGCACTTTGAAAAGAACTTTGATTTTACAAGTGTTTTCTGATGGAAATTTTCTGTCATCATAGGAAGCTTAAGGGAAGGAACATTTTGAGTGGCTTATGACTCAGAATTCAAAATGGAGGAAGTTGTATGTTCAAGAAAAAAAAAAAAGGAAGAAACAAGCTTAGGATACTGGCAAGTGTGGGTGGGGGATTAATCGGTGTATGAAACAAGTAAAATAGGAGTGCCTCACTCTTTTGTCTTTTTCCTTAATAATTGAAGTGGTTCCCTTGCCCTACTCGTTCTCCTATTTATGGCACTGCTGATGGTGAAGGTCCATTGCATTATTACACTCAGGGTGAGAGATTTGCCCACCACCCAAAATACTTACATTAGTAAATAATGTAAGTATTCAGAATATTGTCCCCATCTTTGTCGTTTTGGATGTTGTGCCCTCAGGTCTTCCTTGGGTGTATATTGATCCAGGTAACCTATAGGGAATTTCAAATTTAACCCTTTATTTAATCTATGGGGATGGACTGTTCTCGTTCCACTGCCCATATCTAGAGATATCTTGTCTAGTTCTTATTTTTATTATTGCTCTGTTATTGCTTACCCTGTTTCCACCGAGTCTAGCCAATTACTCTGTCAACATGAAACAATGCTTTAATCTACTTGGCTATTGTCCCATAGGATAATTCTCTGTGTTTGAAATGATAAAAAAACTTTTACATAATATATTTAATTGGAATTGCAGTTACAGAAGACATGCTTCAAAAGGTGTTCTTTGGCAGGGATTGAGAAAAATAATCTGGGTGAAGATGTGCTTTGCTTAAAAAAGATAAATAGAGCCTTCCTTGATGTGATGTTCTTTATGGCCAAGTGGAAAAACACACCAGATCCAAAGGTGGTTTCCCCTAGAAAGTGGGTAAACTGGTTTGATTCCCTGGTGGGTGTGGGGTCATATTTTTACTTGAATGCACAGACTGATAGACATAATAACCATTGTTTAAGAAATAAAATCAGACATCTATTTCAAATACAAAGTATCCACTAATAACATTTGAAGTATGTATATAATATATAATAATAATAATAATAATGGATTCTCACGTCGGTTTCGACGTATGAGTATCTGACAGCTTATTGATTCAGTTATGAAAGTTTGTGCAATAATCTTAAGTGGCATTTAAGACCCGTTAGTGATTTACAAAGGAGGCCACATATGGAGCAAGTGTGAGGATTGTGAGATGAGATCACTGTTAGATTGGTTGACCTTTTAGATCTTGCTCTCGTTTCTTGAAGATGATTCAGACAAGCAGATTGAAAATTGCTGAGTCCACTAAAATACGTTGATCTCCATTCTACCTGCTCCAAGGCTAAGCTCTCAAGGGTGTTATGTGGTATATTGACTGCTGACACGTTGCTTTTCAGCTTGTCTTTGTATCTTAGCCATGGGCATCCTACATTCCTGTAGTCCTGATCTAACTGGCTGTACATTAGGATCTTGGGTATGCTGTCATTAGACATTCTCAAAACATGACCAGTCCACCGTAACTGAGACTGTATGAGAAAAAGTCTTGATTCCTCCAATATTGTACCTGTTAAACAGGTCTACGCTAGATGTCCTATCTTGAAGCTTAACTCCACAGATTGCCTTAAACAGCTTTTTATGGAAAAACATCCAGCTGGCGTGATATGGAAAATTTATATGGAGTCCACGACTCTGAGCCATACAAAAGGATAGCAAGTACAACAGCTCTGTAAACCCGAATTTTCGTATCCAGTCGAATACCCTGCTCATTCCACAAGCGATGGTGAAGTTTTCCAAAAACACTGGTAGCCTTAGCAATCCGATGCATGATTTCATCATCTAAAATCTAATTTTGAGTAAACTCATGACAGCCATAATTTTCTAGGTTAGACTTGTTTGCTACTCAGTTTTTACCATGTATGTTTTTATGGATACAATTTTATAGATACAATTTTCTTTTTTAATAATTTCACCCCAATCAAAGCAATAAAGTCACTGAGACCCACAAGGCGTTGCTGAGTTTGAAAAAATAAGAAAAATAAAAACATTATTAAGGAGCAAAAAGAATAAAAGAAGAGGGATCAAGAAGACAGTAGATAACGATTGATGTTTCATTTAAATTTTTGAAGATGAAAATTGGCTGAAAAGCAAGAAGCTAGAAGAGAGTTCCACAGGCAAGAAGTCTGAGGACTTATAGTTGCCAGTTCAACGGTAAAATGATGCAGCCTTGTTGCCAATCTAGTATTGCCCTTAAATTCATTAAATCTTGGTACTACAGAACAAAGTTCATCAGAACCCATTACCATGAAAGTTTTAATAGAAAAGAAATAGAAAAGCTACCTTATGGCATTGGGAAAGTGGCTGAAGCTGTGATGCCAGGTTAGGCCCGACAATCTTGCAGATTCTTTTTTGGATTTTATCAAATATCCCTAAATATATAACAGGAGCTAAAAATGTAAGATTACTTTTTTCTATTTTCTTTGCAAAGATTTACAAAAAAATTTTTATTTTTACTTGTACAAAATTAATATTTTAGTCAGACAAGTTTAAAATAAAAAAAAAATTAGCTAAATTGATATTTTCTGAAATTAATGCTTCTCAAATATAAAAATATAAAGTCGTGTAGAAAAAAAAAAAAAGGATCCCTTCTTTTTTGAGGGCTTTAACCTTTAGCACTCTGCATTATTAATATTACTCCCCTTTCCATTTCATTCTTTTTCAAGGCCTCTCAATTGCAATATCCTTCTTGTTAGTTTCACTCAAAGTTTTCTGTTGCCATAGCAGGATATGGCAGCACAACTATGAAATTCAAAGACGCTATTGTTCAGGGATCAGTCACCTTCAGTGGCAGGATAAACTTTTTGTACAGCAAATGAAGTCACATACAGAGTGATAAAGGTTAAGTAACCCATAAATAGTTGATAAACCACAAAAAACAAAACAAATAAAATGTGATTATTTTAGTAAAAATAATAAAGGTTAATAATGAAATTTGTATTCAGGAGGAAGCAAAGAAAAATAATGAAATAATTTTTTTTTGTTTTTTTTAATAAATTAAAAAATTTAATGAAAGAAAAGATATTAAAACCTTGAAATTAAATTGCTTGATAATTCACTCTTGTTGAACATTAATTGATATTATAAAAATATTTAATCAAAATAAAATAAATAATGCGTTCAATCTAATATGATTGTATTAAAACAAATAGTTTGACAACTGATGCATGTTCACCTATTGACCTTTTACATTTGAATACTTACAAACATTGATGAGTTGTATTCAAAATGTGCTTCATTTTAATGATGGAAAATTGATTCATGTCAAGTGAAAATATTTTTTGAAAATGTATTCGACTTAGGGAAATGAAATCTTGTGCAGTAAGGAGGAGAAAAATGTAGTTATTTTAGTGAAAATGATTTTTGAACTTTTTTTTTTAATATTTTCTCCCTATACAGTTTCTAGTAAAATCAATAATGTAATACAGAGTGCAGCAGAAATATCCCCCCGCATAATGGTAAGACATTAGTGGCAATGATGTTTTCATCTAGTTAATGTCTTACCATTATGTGGGAAGTATTTCTGCCACACACTGTATTATTAAGGAGTTCACTGTTCATAAAAAATTAGATTTTGATAATTTTAAAATTTTTTTAATTTAAAGTTTTTTCTAATATTTTTTTTTTTTTTTTTTTTTTTTTAAGTTTTGTATTTTTTAAGTTTTTTTTTTAAATTTATTATTTTATTTATTTATTTTAATTTAAAAAGATTTGAAAATTTTTCTTACATTTTGTTTTTCATGTTTGCTTCCTATAAACTTTATATTGCTATGCATGATTGATCATCTCTCATCATCTAGGACCAGATTATAAATGGTTTGGTATTGACAACTTATTTGCTAATTGTGTGTGTGTGATAGTTTCAAAATTTTGCAAGTTATTTCCTTTTTTGTATATCACCTTGTTGCAAACCAGCTAACCTTATTTGTTTGTTTTCATGGCCCAGGAAGCAATTTAATTTATAAAATACGAAAACTAATGGCCCTCTCAATTAAATTTCAGTTGTACCCTGCAAGGGATATTGTCTATGACAGTCTGGAAAAGTCACCAGAACATAGGACTGATGATGATATTGAAACACTTTTGGATTTTATGAGACACTTTTCTGTAAGTATCTTTGGAATGTATCTTGCATTTCTTTCTTTCTTTTTTCTTAATCATTTAACCCCAAGCAAGACAATAAAGCCACTCACATGTGGTTACTGAGTGCAAAAGAATCTGAAGAAAAAAAAAAGCAAGGCATTAAAGAGAGAGGACAATAATAGAACTGGATTCAAGGATACAGAAAATGATGGTTGGCATTGCATTTAAATTTTTGAAGATCAAAGTTGTCATGAAAACAAGAAGCCAGAAAAGATTTCCACAAGTGGAAAATGTGAGAAGAAACTGAATAGAATTTACCTCTTTGGAATTCTTTGTTTTGTTTGTGTTTTTTTTTATGATGATGATCTTTGTTAAATACTGTAATTTTTAATTTTGTTTTTCATAAATCACTGTATTTTTAATAAACAAATAATCATTTCTCCTACCTCCATTGCCAGAGAGCCAGCACCATGGAACACAGACTGCATTTAAACCCAACAACCATTTTTTTTTCTGCTTACAGTGTCAACATTGCTTGGATTTGATAAAAAGTTATCAACAGGGCATGTTCAGACTACCGTTTGAGTTGTGCTAGAGACTCTGTATATTAAGTCTAAGCAAATTCCCATTTGTAAGGAGAAGGAATGGTTGCTAGGTCTTAATATAACCTGACTTTAATCTATAGTGCTAACTCTTTTGGTTGTTACCCTCTACCTACTGGCTATCATCAGATCTTTCTCTCTTACTCTTACCCTCTCTCCCCTTCTCTCTCTCGTCAACCTCCCCCTTCTCTCTCTCTCGTCTCCCTCTCTCTCTCTCTCTCTCTCTCTCCCTCTCCTCTCTTCTCTCTCTCTTCTCTCTCTCTTCTCCCTCTCTCTCTCGTCTCCCCTTCTCTCTCTCTCGTCTCCCCTTCTCTCTCTCTCGTGTCTCCCCTTCTCTCTCTCTCGTGTCTCCCACTACTTCTCTCTCTCTCGTGTCTCCCACTACTTCTCTCTCTCTCTGTCGTCTCCCACTACTCTCTCTCTCTCTGTCGTCTCCCACTACTTCTCTCTCTCTCTGTCGTCTCCCACTACTTCTCTCTCTCTCTGTCGTCTCCCACTACTTCTCTCTCTCTCTCTGTCGTCTCCCACTCTCTCTCTCTCTGTCTCCCACTACTTCTCTCTCTCTCCCGTCTCCCACTTCTCTCTCTCTCTCTGTCGTCTCCCACTTCTCTCTCTCTCTGTCGTCTCTCCGTCTCCCACTCTCTCTCTCTCTCTGTCGTCTCCCCTTCTCTCTCTCTCTCTGTCGTCTCCCACTACTTCTCTCTCTCTCTGTCGTCTCCCTACTTCTCTCTCTCTCTCTCTGTCCTCTCCCTACTTCTCTCTCTCTCTCTGTCGTCTCCCCTACTTCTCTCTCTCTCTGTCGTCTCCCCTTCTCTCTCTCTCTCTGTCGTCTCCCACTTCTTCTCTCTCTCTCTCTCTCTGTCTCCCACTTCTCTCTCTCTCTCTCTGTCGTCTCCCACTTCTCTCTCTCTCTCTCTCTGTCGTCTCCCTACTGTTCTCTCTCTCTCTCTGTCGTCTCCCACTACTTCTCTCTCTCTCTCTCTGTCGTCTCCCACTACTTCTCTCTCTCTCTCTCTGTCGTCTCCCACTACTTCTCTCTCTCTCTCTCGTCTCCCACTTCTCTCTCTCTCTGTGTCTCCCCCTTCTCTCTCTCTCTCTCTGTCTCCCTACTTCTCTCTCTCTCTCTGTCGTCTCCCACTACTCTCTCTCTCTCTGTCGTCTCCCCACTTCTCTCTCTCTCTGTCGTCTCCCACTACTTTCTCTCTCTCTCTCTCTGTCGTCTCCCACTACTCTCTCTCTCTCTGTCCTCCTCACACCTCATCCTCTCACTCTTTCTATTTTTGTGTATGTTTGTTTTTTTTTTTTTTTTTTATTGTTGGTGAATCTTTGTGGTTTTATGAAGCCATTATCGGCAAATATCTCTATTTCACAATTGCATTGATTACCTCATGACCCCTTTTTTTTTTTCTTTTTTTTTTTTTTTCTCTCTCAAACACTTCAAGGCAGCGTAATGTTGCCAACTACATATGGACAGCAACTATTCAAAATGATTACTTGCTCCTTTCTTTTTTTCCCATTTATTTTATTTGATTTTCTCCATTTTCTTTTAATTGTTTTGGGCTTTCGATGGATTTGCATATGTCAAGAGGATTGTTTGTAACATGGTTTTGTCTGCTGAGTGGATCTTAAATGTTATCTATCAATCCCTTGCTTCTAGGAATAGTTAACCTTTGATTGTTTCATTTTTTTTTTCCTTCCCCTTTCTTCAATATATAAATTCTTTGAGCATCATCAGCAAAATATAGCTTATTTATCAAAATACAAATGATAATTTATTTGTACTGATTATTTAGTTGAGCCTTTTGAAAGAAGAATGTTAATTTTTCAAAATTAACTTCATAAGGCTTTTTATTTTCTTCATAATAAAATGATTTAGTAAATTTATCTTTTTAATTAATTAATCTTTGGCAGCTACATTAACATGAAGTGAAATGATTATATTGTATCAATTGCTAAATTTGCTTCCTTTTTATATCATTTCCCTCTGAGCAAGGCAAAAAAGTCACTAAGACACAAGAGGTTACTGAGTAAAAGAATATGAGAAAAAGAAAACATTAAGGAGGAGAGGATACATAAGATAACGCTTGACATTGCATTTAAGTTTTTGTAGATCAAAGTTGGGTGGAAAGCAAGAAGAAGAGTTCCACAAATGAGAAGTACGAGAGAACAAACTGTTAGTATAGAACTTATGGTTACTTCTAGCCATTTCATTTGTAAAATGATGAGACCTAGCTGCCAATCTAGTACTATACTTAAATTCATAAAGTCTCGGTACCAAAGAGGAAAGCTCATCAGAACAATTACCATGAAAAGGTGCAGAGAAGCTATGTTTGATTATTTTTCAATCACTTTCAACTCAGTGATTCATAATATATGAAAATTCAAATTCTGAACTGGGTTAGGTAACTTAAGGCCCATGGGTCAACAATCCATGAATTATCTTTCCTGTTTATCATGAAGATTATCATACATGATGTCTTGTTATGTCGGCCTCAGACTCTATATTTTATCACCCACCCCCACACTTTTTATATCATTTTTTTTTTTTTTTCCAACCCTGCTGCCCAATCAGCCTGGAGGGTGAAAAAAAAACTAAAAAGAAACTCTTGCTTTAGTGTCTACTGTAATTTCTCAAAAATAATACGCATTTTTTTTTCTTACTGTAAATTACAGGTGATAGTAAGGGTGCATATTATAAATAGGTTTAAACAAAAATATTTTTTATTGATTTATAATAATAAATACGTACTTGTTGTTCTAAAATAAGAAAGATATTATCCCAATTTTCATTTGAAATCCAACAATTATAATTGTAACATTTTTTTTGTCAATAAATTTGTTTATCTGTATCCACATTCTTTATTTGGCAAAAAAAGAAAAAATCTTTGCTGAATAACAATGCAAAAAATTCAAAAGCGTATCTTTGCAGTTATCAGGCAAACCCTGGGCTATGGATGTTCTTCTAATAGATATATCAAACCTCTTCATAAAAAGAAAACACCAATTTGCTGAAGCTTTAAATGTGTTTCCAGGATACATGATTTTCATAAGTTCTTTTGTCTTCATCCTTATTTCCACAGTACTTATAAAACATCCATTTGATCATCTTTCATATCTGGATATTGAGCTTTTCTTCCTCTACCTATAGCTTTGGCACTTGATTTACACTTTTTTAATTCATTTTTATTCTTTCTCCATAAACTTATGTTAGTCTCATTCAACTCATATTCTCTCACTGCAGCTCTGTTTTCTATTCTTTCTGCTAATTCTATTACTTTTTGTTTAAAATTTGCACTATAACGTGCACGTTTTGACGACATTTTGGCGGTAAAATGTTATATTTATCAGGAAAACCGCATGGTAATTTTCAACATTATTTTAGACACTTAGTTTTGATTTTATTCTTAATGTCAAGGTCGACAAAATGTCTTCATAATTATTTTTTTTTTTTTTTTATTTATTTTTTTTTTTTTTTTTTTTTTTTTTTTTATAGATGTGTATTATACATTGGGATAGATATATTCATTTTTGGATCATTTATTGGGTGCATATTATTTTCAAGAAATTACGGTAGTTAGTTACCATGATCTTGTAAGCAAGGAATCATTTATATTTGCCAAATCAAAAGAAAGATGACAAAACTTGTTCACTCCCAAACTATTAAATCAATAATGACATTGTTTATTTCGATTTCTTTGTTGCTTGTTTCTTTGTAGGCATTTGCGAATATGACATTAGCTACAAGGCGGGCCTTATGTGCTGTGATGGTGTTTGCAGTTGTAAAGAAATCAGGTGTTCTTGTAATGAAAGATGGAGAGGAGCTGGACTCCTGGTCCGTCATTCTTAATGGGGAGGTAGAAATCACTTATCCAGACGGAAGCAAAAAAATCCTCACTATGGGCAACAGGTAAGTTATTCTCTTAAATTGATATTTAAAAAAAAAAATTTAATGAATATTTCGTATAATCTAAATAAAAGAGCAAATGGGAAATGTTTATCAGTCTAAAATGTTTCACTTTTATTAAAGCTTCATCAGAGATTGAGTGAAAACAGACAAAAAGACAGAACTTGGGTATTTTTAATTTTGTTTAGATCAACTCTCATTGGTCAGTCATGTATTACATGCATTAAATCTGCAGATAATATATATATGTAGGTAGAATTATCTATGGTTTTAATTAGAATTATAATAAAACCTAAACACAGGATGAAAGTGAATTTGTACATTTTCTTTATTCTTCATAATTTACAACAAAAATATTAAATACTGTTTATAACATTGTTTATTTAAAAGAATAATTTTATATTTAAAACATTCTAAAAATTAATGCAATATTTATCATTTACCAATTTATAAAGTAAATATGAAAACTTTTTTTTTTTTTTTTTTTCATAAATCTATAAACATTTATTAAATTATTAAAGTATGTGAACCAGCTCTAAGGAAATCTTTATTTACCATTTTATAAAGTTGGAATCAATTGGCAATAAGCTGATGTTTTGCTAATCATTCTAAGGTCCAAGTTTGCCTCTTATTTTTTTTAATTTATAAGAAGAATTGTTTGTTAATCAAGAATAGTCTTGTGATCAAAACTTTCAGTCTTTCAATTTTAAATCCTTTTTTATTTTTTATTTTCTAGCTTTGGTGTGTTTCCCACCTTAGAAAAGCAGACCCATAATGGGGTTATGTACACCCGTGCGGATGATTGTCAGTTTGTTTGTATTGCCCAAGACGAGTATTACCGTATATTGCACCAGGTATGAAACCTTCAATTTCTTCGTTTAAGGATTTTAAAAAAAAAAAAATTCTCTTTTTTTTTTTTTTTTTTGAAGAAAAACGTTTGTGTTCTTTTCTGCCACAGTTTGTTTCTTTTAGAGTACCAAAATCGTAATGTCACATTTGAAATATTTGATGTTAAATTAAAATCAGAACTGATGCTAAAACCAAAATTTTTGCCTCCTTTTTTTCTCTTTTGAGCAACATTTCTTTGCCATTGAGATTTTTACTTGTTACATTCTGTAAAGATGTTTGATACATGCAGTCATGCAAGAACTACCAAAGCAATCTTGTTCTCTCTGAATTATTTTAAATATTCTACAGATTCTTATACTTTGGACAGAAAATAAGGATTAAGGTTTTATAATGCCAGAAGATTTTTTTTAATCATTTCATGCCATGCAATTTATTTTGAAATGTCTGTTTTGTTTGCAGGGAGTGGAAAATACCAGAAAACATGAAGAACAAGGCAGAGTTGTCATGGTAACAGAACACCGTGTTTTAGATGGTGGTAACAGAAAAGGTCATATAGTTATTCGGGTAAGCATCTTAACTTCCCACACACAAGGCTCTTGTGAAAATCACAACCAGTCCTTTTTTTCTTGTAATTTTTCCTTGTATTGTATTTTCTTGTGTGCAATATGAGAAATTTTGAATGAAAATTAAAGTAAATAAATAAAAGTAAGGATCATATTATACACAGGTACATGTTTTCAGAAATATTTACTCAGCTTAAAAAACCTTTTATTTCAAACAGCATGATTGCAAATTCAGCTAGTTATATAGACAATAAAACAGACAGGTGTTGATAACAGTTGTTTACTAAAAGGTATTATTTACATTGTTTGGACTGTTGTCTTCATGTTTATTATGTTCACAATGTTTCAGCTGTTGTATGCTCCAGCCTTCTTCAGATGATTGCAATTTTAAACTGAACCTTTCATTTCCTCCAACAGGGTAGATTGTTCTAGTTCCACGTGTCATGCCTCTTCCGTATGTCTTAGTTATCTCCCTTTAACTCAACTAAGATTTTGTTCACCACTGCCGTAGCCAGGTATTGAACTCACAACTCTTTGGGTCAAGTCATTGGATCCAACTAATGCTTTTATCCACCGGGTTATTTGGTTAAAGATATGTCATCAATATTTGTTCTTTGAGAATCAGCATAATTGAATGTCTCTTGTCTCAAAGGCAGGAAACTCACCAAAATTGATTAAAAAAATAAATAAATTAATAAAATGAATCAAGGGAATACACAAGATCTGTTATGTTTTGATGGTATTAATGTTCCAATAAAGCAGCTTTCTATGAAAATAAGTTTTGAAATGGAAACCACAAGAAGCATGCAATGGCTAAACATCTGATTCATTTCTATTCTTTAATATCATGAAAAAATGTTTTACTGAAAATATATGTACAACATTAAGATTTTAATGGATAATATGTCATAACTTTCAAAAAGAATTTCCAGGAAAAAAGAAAAAAAAGAATTTCCATAGGGAAAAAAATGAATGAAGGGAATACACAAGATCTGTCATATTTTGATAACATTTAATGTTCGAATAAAGCAGCTTTCCATGAAAATAAGTTTTGAAACAGAAATCAGAAGAAACTTGCAATGGTTAAACATTCGATTCGTTTCTATTCTTTAATATTGTGAAAAATTAAATATTTTAGTTAAATATATGTACGTCATTGAGAATTTAATGGACAATTTAATAGTAGTAGATAGGTTTTCCTATTGCCTGGTTCATACTCCTCCCTAGTCTTTTGAACAGGAGTAGAGGTTTATCCCTTGTTAAGTTTGGGTTTCTGGTCCCTTTTAAAGTCTACTTCAACTCTATACTTCTAACATCTCCACCTGAACTCTGAAATTTAATTCACTAATTTATTCGTTTTTCACCTCAATAGGAGTAGATAGATTTGTTTGCCTATCATCTGGTTTACACACCTCCTCTGTCTTGTGAACAGGAGTATAGGCTTATCCCTTGTTCTCTGTTTAGGATTGGGTTTCTGGTTCCGTCTAAAATCTTTTCATTCTCTTTCAGTCCCAGTAGCCCCTTGCATCTTCGTGGCATTGTCACCTTGCTTGGGGGTGATTGATAAAAAAAAAAAAAAGAAAAAAAGAAAAAAAAAATTACTTAGTGATGTCTGTACTACTGGGTCATATAATATTCAAGGAGGTAATTTATTTCACTTTTAGCTTTAGAAACACATGGTTATATTATACACAAGTTGTATTGTATATATAAAAAAAACACGGTAGTTAAGTCTTTCTAAATTTACGTGTTGTTATCAGTAGTGTTATTAAACATAAGTTCATGTCTCATTTTGAGATTAATTAGCAAAAGGTTAAACCCTTCAACCACAGATAAGATGTCTTTTGATTCTTTCCAGCGGTTGTAGCCTACAGAAATTCTAGAACAGGGATTCTCAACAGGGATGAAATTCACCCCCAGGGAGTGAATTTTGGATTTTCAAGGGTGAATTGTGACCACAATAAGTTTAAAGGTGGAGAGGATAGCAATTATAGAATTTGGCCTCTCTGGCCTGTCACCTTGAAAAGGAGGTGGGGATGGCATTCTGACAAATGGTGACAGGGGGTGCATGGGGGGCAAACAAGGTTGAAAACCCCTGTTTATGCCATCAAAATGGAATAGTCCATTATTTAAGAGGTATTGGTAAGAGATATTAAACACTCCTTATTTTTTCTTTTTCTCACTGAAACCAAGTAGTGCCTTTACCCATCTTTCCATGTGAACAAAATGGAATATTCCGTTATTAGGTATTGGCAGATGTTAAACTTCTTTCTTTTTCTCACTGAAAACAAGTGTCTTTTCCCACCTCTGTCTACACGATCATCATGGAATATTCCATTATTTATGTGGTATTGGCAGGGCGTAATGGCCATGCAAATTCACAAAGGGAGAGACAAGCACAATTATTATTATTAGTTTACATTCAGATGATTGTCCTCATCTCTTTTCTCCCATCTGTGGGTTAATCAGTAATACTTGTATTATTAAGCCATTATTATCTCAAAAAATAATTCTTACAAAGTTTCTACTTCTACATTTTTTCTGTTAGGTTGAGTCATAAATAATTTCCATTTTTATTTATCCACTTAATTCTGAAAAAAATAATGTCAAATTAGATTTTGGTCAATAATATATTTGCTATTATTTGTAATGACATGGTGCCACTTACCAGGCAGTTCTTCAATACATTTTGAGTAAAATTTTGCAGGTTTTGACAAGGAAAATTTTTTTGATGAACACTTGAATCTGGTTTTCAAGTGTTTTGCAGTGTTCAGAAAAATATTAATCTGTTGGGGGCAAGGTCAGATAAATATGACATGTGGGGCAGAACAGGCCAACCAAGTTCCAAAATCTTTTTCCGTGTTATTCTTGCTGAATCTGGCTTTGTTATAGAGAACAACAACTTTTTTCCTATTAATGTATGAATCCATCTCTTCTCTCCCATCTATGGGTTAATCAGTAATACTTGTATTATTAAGCCATTATTATCTCAAAAAAAAAAAATTCTTACAATATAAAATATTTTCTGGCTTTAAATAACCTGCCAAGGGTTGACAAACACAGTTTGCTTTCTGACCAAACTTTTATGGATGCATTGCTGCTGCTGGATGTTTAAATGTGCATTTAATGGTTCATTGCATTCTAAGAACTCTAAAAAAATAATACCCTAATGATCCCAATACATACACAACATTACCTTTCTTCCATGGGGGTTGCTTAGTGCGATTTATCCTCATTAATCCAACATGTTCTACTTTTAACATTTTTGTCTGTAACCCATTTTTTGTCACCTGATACAAGATATCTAAGGAAATGTTAGCTAGGATTATACATTAGTCATTAGAATTGTTTCCCAAAAATGGATATTACTTATGACTCGATGTAATATCATAGATCTCCCATAGTGCTCACACTCTAAAATCAGTATCAAGTGAGAATAAAAATATCACACTCAATTAGGAAGTGCTTCACTGCATATATGACATGGTGCACATTGAAACCACTCCTCCTGTCTGAGCATAAAAGAGTGTGTTTTTTGTGTGACGAATGCATAGTTGTGTCAAGATGAATTGTTTTATTTTTGAGTATTTCCGAGTCGGTGTTTCCACTTTCCTGGGGTGGGCCAGTTTTAAATATTTTGAAGTGGCGTCACACTTCAAATGATTTTCAACGCTTGAATTTTTTTTTTTTTTTAATCATCCATGATAAGGAAAATACTTTCTTTGATTTGTGACCAACTTTAATATTTTTATCTAACTAGTAGAAAATCTTTTCTCCCACATTTATCAAAGGTATCATAGAGCTGATAAGTGTCACCAAGTCATTGCAAATAATGATGAATATATTATTGGCTGGAATTTTAGTGAGAAATGTTCAGTGTGAAAAAACATTTGACTGCTTGTAGAACTATCTCCATAAATTAGACAATTTTTTTTTTTTTGTGCTATGGTTTTTTACTTTTAAATAAAAGATATTTGGCCAAGTGATTAGAATGTTAGTATTCTGACCATTAGACAAATGTCAGAATCTCACATTCTGGTCAATTTGTGAAAGAGTTGATATGATATTAGCCTGCGGGAGATGATCCCAGTGTTCAGTACACTATTGGGAAATATTTGAAAACCATGCCACAAGTTAACTCAAGCCTTGTTAATAAAATTGTTCAGGAGGTTTCAATGTTCTGCTGCATGAAGTCCTAGCCAGAGGTGCCGGTAAAAATCTCATTAGCCCTGTCTGGCAAATTAACAAAGAGATGGCATCTCAGTAAAAACACTTACACCCCTAACAATCTACCCCAAACTTATTTCACATTTTTGTGCTATTACTCTTATTTTCTGGTTAATTTATAAACAAGTTAACTCGTGCTCTGCTAAAAGGATTAAAATGTCCCAAAATATTTTTACCTTGGATAATGGAATATATTTGGATGCCACTACAGTCGAAATGTGATAACAGCAAAGATGAGGACAATAGTCTGAATGTAAACTGTAAATAATCATATAATTGTGCTTGTCCCTCCTTTTGTTGGTTCGCATGAATGCTACACTCTGCAATTACCTCATAAATAATGGAATATTCTGTTTTGATCACATGGATTGATGTGTAAAGACACTACTTGGTTTCAGTGAGAAGAAAAAAGAGGTGTTTAATATCTCCTGCCAATACCTCAAATAATGGACCATTCTGTTTTGATTGCATAGAAAAAAAAAACATAAGCGCCGGTACTTGGTTTCAGTGTGAAAATGAATGAAAGAAAGAAAAGATAGGAGTACTTAAAGTCTGTTTCAGTGGAAAATGGAAAAGTTGTCAATTTCAAATCTTTTCATTTGTATCCACTTCTGAAAATAACGACCAGCATTCATATTTATGATTGTCATTGCAATATTTTGTTAAAGTTGTTAAACTCAAATATTTAATGTGATGGGGGAATTTCTACAGATATTTTATTGTCATAGAACTCACCATGAACTTATTCAATCATTAACTTAAGAATTAAGATTCATCAGAAAATTTAAATAGGAAAACCGTGAAATTTTCACAGGTCTTTTTACTTCATCTATTAATTCATTTTGGAAATCTGAAACCTTTTTTTTTTTTTTTTTTTCAGTACAAATACATTTTACCATATAAATTTGACTGTAATTAGAATGATTTTCTAAATGATTTACTTTTGTTGATTCTGAAAATTAACAAATTTTTTTAGTGAGATTTACTGTAAGATTGCTGTAAAACAATTTTTCAGTGTTATGAAACAATGAGTATTCATAAATGCAGAAAGACATTTTTATACACAAAATGGAACAGTTGTAGAAAGAATTTGATACAGCAGTCTTTCTGCTCTCCCGAGAAATGAAATTGCAAATGGTCTCTCCTTTCCCCTCTCTTCATACACTCTACTAAATTTCCATTCTAAAGTTTATCCTAAGAATGCTTTAGGAATTTTTCAGGCATCTTAAAGAAGGTGGAATGTTGGTCAATTTTAATTGAATTTTGAGTACTCTCTCTCTCTCTCTCTAATATATATATATATATATAAAGTTTTTCATGGTACAGAATTTAATAATAGATAGGAAAAGACAATATTTATGAGGCATTTTTAAAAGCAAAAGCTAAAATAAAAACAACCGGTTTCGTCCCAGGACTTATCAAGTTTATTTATTCTGGGAATTTAAAAAGCGTGTAAATTAATTTTTAGTTAACGAATGTAATCGAATGGGGCGGGGGATGAATTTCAAGAATTCAAGTCACCACTAAAATTTTCCACAGAAATAGAAGGAAATGTGTGGAAAATTTTAGTGGTGACCGATTTATAATTTTATCTAGGTCCCACTCCACATTTCACCTCAAGGTGCTAGAGTCCTTGTATATCAGATCCCGTGAGCCTTCCCTTTGTAAACAGAGGGAATGCTTGCTGGGTCTGAATATTATTGGACTCTAGTTTCTTGAAATTCATTTATTTATTTTTTTATTTTTTTTTTATTTTTCCACCCCCATTCGATTACATTCGTTAATTAAAAATTAATTTACACACTTTTTAAATTCCCAGAATAAATAAACTTGATAAGTCCTGGGATGAAACCGGTTGTTTTTATTTTAGCTTTGTTTTTAAAAATGCCTTATAAATATTGTCTTTTCCTATATATATATATATATATATATATATATATATATATAAATATATATATATATATATATAAAATAATTGGTAGGGAAAATAAAGGTAATTAAGTTTTAAGTTTGCCAAGTAAGTTAGGTAAACAGACATAGAGGACAAAGAAGTTTATAATAGTTCTCAACACAATATTTTTTCTTAAAGCAGTATTTTTTTAAATTTAATTTTTCACAGCTGAATCTTTAAATACATTTTTTTACCAATTATTTTACTTTTTCTCTTGTAAACATGTTCAAACAATCTGTCATTGTCAAGATGCTGCAATCTGGTGCACAAGGGACGTAACTCTAACACAGCAAAATGAAAAAGTATACAAACAAATGTTGTATGAATATCATCTATGAAATACATAAATATGGGTTCACGTTTTATTTTAATTTAATTTTTTTTTTTTTTTTTTTTTTTTTTTTTACAAAAATATCTAATTATAATTTGTTTTCTCTTCTCACTTTTTCCATTGTGACTATATTTGCAGGGTACCCCTGAACGATTAATGCAGCATTTAATAGAGGAAGAAAATTCGTCAGTTGATCCTACATATGTGGAGGACTTCCTGTTAACTTACCGCACATTCCTCCCCAGCCCTTCATGTTTATCGAACAAGTTACTTGCTTGGTTCAATAATAATGAATTGGGCAAATCCAATTTGAAAATTAAGGTAAGTAGTCATTGTTTATCTGTAAAGTGTTGTTTTCTAGTGGATTTCATGTCTAGCCTCTTCTAATGTCATACTTCCTCATTTCTCTTTCTCTTGCAAATGAAATAACTTTAAGTTATACAGTACTTCCTTGAGATGTGAATTTAAAAAAATTTTTTTTTTTATTGGAATCACCCTAAGCAAAGCAGTAATGCCACTCAGACACAAGGGGATACAGGGTGTGGAAGAATTAAGAACAGAAACATTAATGATGAACAGAAAGAGAAGAGAGTAATCAGGAAGACAGTAGATAGTGATTGATATTGCATTTAAATTTTAGCAGATTAAAGTTGGCTGGAAAGTATGGAGCTGGAAGGGAGTTCCACAAGTGCAAAGTGCAAGAAAAGAAACTATTAGCATTTACGGTTACATCTTGCCAGCTCAACTGTAAAATAATTGAGATCTTGATGCTAGTCTAGTACTGTGTTTAAATTCAAAAAGTGTAGGTACCATATTGAAGAGCTCATCTGAACAATTACCATGAAAGTATTTATAGAAAAGACATAGAGAGGCAACCTTATGTTGGTGGGCAAGTGACTGAAGCTGAGCTGCCAGATCAGGACCAATAATATTACTGATTCTTTTTTTGGATCTTATCAAGGAGCTCAAGCAGAAGCATCAGACAATATGTGGCAGCAATATTCTAAGCATGAATGAATGGTAGACTTAAAGATATGTAATATAGATATGAAGAGAAAAATTGAAATCATCTGAACATTTTTCAATTATCCAACCTAAAGCTGTTCTGAGATTTAATTCCAGACAAGCATTGTGAGAATTTAGAAAACCAAACTCAATGTCTTGATAAAAATGCTAAGATCAGTTCAAGTAATTCTTGTTAAATTCTTTTTTTTTTTTTTTTTTTTTCATACAAAGAATGTACATTAGAATTTTTTTTTTTTTTTCCCAATCAATTCATGCCAAGCAAGGCAATAATAACACTAAGATGCAAGTGGCTACTGAGAGTGAAAGAGAATGAGAATACATTAGAACAGGAGTATCCAAACTTTTCAAAGAGGGACAGATTTGATGAGGTGAATATGTGTGAGGGCCAACCATTCTGCTTGGCATTCTTTGAACCATTAAAATTAAATGCAAATGAACTATCTTATAAAAATTTTATTGCAAATGGCATATTTTCATTTCTTCACATGGATGACAATTATTTCTTACGTGTGTACTTTACATACTCTGATTCACGATACTAGTGGGCCGTAAGTGATATAATTCTATAACAGAGGATGGGAGGGGGGGCATATGAAATTTGACTGCAGGCCATAATTGGTTCCCGGGCTGGACCTTGGACATACTTGCATTAGAAGAAACATGAAACGATGGATAAACCTCTACTCCTGTTCAAAAGACTGGGGAGGAGAGTGAAGTAGGTGATAGGTGAACCACACTATTACAGCTTGGTCACACTGGAGATTATGCATATATTTTAATTCATCTTTGGGAGTTAGCAGCAAAAAAAAAAACACTAGACCAGTTAGAAACAGATGAAAACTGACACTTTTTTTTTTTTTTTTTTTTTTTAAAATCAACTGGACAAAACCTTCAACAATGCATTTGAAAATGTTATTGGATGATATAAGTGAGAAATTTCTTTCAGAAAACTTGTTTTTTTTTTTTTTGTTTTTTGCTTCATTCTTTTTGATAATTTAGGTATTCAATTATCTATAATAATTATCTGAGTGTCTTTTTTCTCAACCCTTGTACCAAGTTGTCCAGATAATCGGAGAAATACTCTACTCTCTGTCCTATGATAAAGGACTACTCCTATAGGATGGAGTTACTAAAAAATAATTTTTAAAATGTTTTAAAATTTCTAGGGGATAGGAAAGCCTTGATTTTTAAACTTTCTCTGCCTTGTGGGGGTCATATCCAAAATGTGGAAAAGGCTATGGAAGTAAATCCAGACAGAAAACCAAGAGTGGAGCTCCACGGGCGGGTTGGCTGTCAACACTTGACAAGTTTCCCAGCAAGTCCTGCAGCCAAGTAATCCCCAAATGTAATGCCCTGTATTCATTTGAATCCTGTCAGTACTGCCTAGAGGTGGGGGTCATGTAGTCTGGGTGGTGCACAGCCTCCATATACCATCGCCAGTCTAGGAGAAGGAAAACTCTGAATTCAAAACCACTTGCTGCCTTGTTGGTCTGCCTCTGAGAGGAGGGACGGGGCAACCTCAACATCCCCAGTGCAAAAGGAACTGGCAAGCCATTGTCTTGTTCTGCCTTGAATGTCACATTGAACCACAGTTGTGAGATAGAGGGGAGTGGTGACCAGAGTGGCGGTGCAAAATGCACTCAATGAATGAATGAATAAATAAACGCTTTGTCTACTCAAATACGAGTATCCACTAAAAATAACATTTAAAATGATAAAATATATAAAAACTTAAAAGATGTGCAAAAAAAACAATATTACATTTTTATTAAATAACTGTTTGTTATTTTAATTATTAAATTGTTTTTAAAATAGTGGGAGTATTTTGTATGTTAAATAATAAATCTTTTCATTCCGCCCCCCCCCCAAATTCATGAAAATTTATTGTTCTAAGTAAAACCAACTGAACTTTATACCTACTTACCTGTTTGCAATTCTCCCCAAAATTTGGTTCTGATCAGCCAATGTCTGGCTATATTAGAGGACTGACTAATGGAAATCACAGAATTTTTTTTTATATTTAGATTTTGAAATAACTGATTTCAACATTTCTTTTTATTGCATCTAATGCAAATTGTCGAGAAGAATGTAGATTTTCTTTCTTCCCTAAGCCACATATTTTAATTAAACTGAATGATATTCCATCATGTTAAATCAAGCAGCAAAATAATTATAGAGACAAATAGGTCAGTGATTTCTTATTTGTGAGATGATTTCTTAACGATGTTGTTAGTATAATTAGATTAGTGGGTGTGGAAATGTAATGAACGCACACGTCTATTTGGGAATAGGTTTTTTTTTTCTTCTCTTGCTTCTGAAAAGTAGGTTAAATATTTAATGTAGAAAAAAAAAACATTGTTTTGGCTGGTTTAAATCAAATGGGAAATATTATCTTTGCAATTTCCCAAAATTATTCTATGGCAACTGGAACAATTGTAGAAAAAAAAAATTTCTTGCAAACACTTTTATTATAGAGTAAATAATTTCCTTTTAGAAATTATGAAGAAAAAAAAAACTTTTTGAAGTTTTTTCTTTCTTTAATCATTTCACTCCAAGCAAGGAAATAAAGCCACTAAGATGCAAAGGTTTACTGAATGTAGAAGAATATAAGAAAAAGAAAGCCATTATTAAGGAGAGAGAACAATAAAAGAATAGGAATTAAGAAGACAAGATAACGATTGACATTGCATTTAAATTTTTGAAGATCAAAGTTGACTAGGAAAGCAAAAGGCTGAAAGAGTTCCACAAGCAAGAAGTGCAATTGAAGAAACTGTTGACATAGGACTTAGTTACATCCACCCATTTCAATTGTAAAATGAAGTGACCTAGCTGCTAATCTAGTACTGTACTTAAATTCATAAAGTCTACGTACCAAAGAGAAAAAATCAGAAAAATTACTATGAAAGTATTTATAGAAAAGGCATAAGAAAACTGTTGGGAAAGTGGTTGAAGCTAAGATATCAGGTTAGGACTTATAACATTGCAGGTTCTTTGGATTTTATCAAGAACCTCTTAGCAGAAGCATCAGATCATATGTAACTGCAATATTCAATGCATAGATGAATGGTTTACTTATAAATGTGTGAGATAGATGTGTGCAAGAAAAATTGTTGAGAATGACATAGTGAACTAACTTTCCTATAAGCGGACCTAGCAATTGTTTCAATATGAGTTGTTTAGAAAGTGAAATTGTCTCCTTGCAGCTTTTCTTTTAGTTACGGTTGGATACTAGAAATTTGGCACAGAAATATTTAAGTTTTCAAATCTAAATATTATTTTTTATACTTGTGTGTGTATGTAAGTCAATTTGTAATCATTGATGTAGCAGTAGAGATTAGATCTTAGACTGAGCAATTTGTTATTCAGTACCTTATTTTTGATATCTACTTGCAAGTGTTTAACACTGCAAATAGTCAAGAGATATGTAAGCAGATAGCATTTTTGGACATTTTGTTGCAAGGCATTTGGAATTAATAAATGTGGCTTTGGAATTGTCAGCTTTATCTCATATCCAAGAATTTAATTTCATCTTTTGTGATGGCTTCCTTTATGATGATGGCATTGATGATTAAGTAGACCAATTCTTGTGTGGAAGAGCTGATGGCATTGACTGCATACTAATGTTGGAGGAGGATGAGGTCGATTTTGTCAAGCTTTCCTCTTTTGTCATTTGACTTCGTTCTTTTCTCTTTTGGTGGCTTCAAATTCTTGATTCCGATGATGATGGAACATTGCCAGTTGGTGTGGTCTTGTGCTTGTGTTTCAAACAATTTCAGCTCAAGTCCAATGGCGTATCAGTGTTGTTTGGGGTTGGTCCTTGTATCTTTGAAGAGGGCGACCCTGTAGTCATTTTACTGAAGTCAGCTCAAGTCCAATGGCATATCAGTGTTGTTTGGACCAGTTGGTCCTTGTATCTTTGAAGAGGGCGACCCTGTAGTCATTTCACTGAAGTGAGCACACTGAATGAGATTTGACGTGGAAACGTTAACTCTTCCATTTTTGCTACATGTCCTGACCATCAAAGATGGTGTGTAATGATCAACAAGTCGATACTTTGACTGTTGGCTATTTCCAAGACTTTGGTGTTGGTCACATAGTAATTCCAGTTGATGTTCAAGATTAATGAAGCTTTTCCTGATGAAAGTATTCTAATTTTTGGATTTTGTGACTATATAGACTCTAGGTTTCACAACCATATAGCAAAGTTTATGCAAAAAAAAGACCAACTGCTCTTTCATAGAACTGACTCCCAAGAGGATGCTTCCCAATCATTACAATTTTAACATGTTCAAGTCTAGTTTTAACTGTTATCTTCCCCACATATCTCTATAAACTGTGCCTCTTAATTTATAAGCCTCTACCTCAAGTGGCTCTTACGCCTTGTATAAGGTGAATGTAATTGTAAAAACACAAAAGTTGGAGGAACATGTAAAATAATGTTCTTATTGCATATTGTCAAATCATTTTTTACTTTTATTTTTGTCAGTTGAGGGCAAATATAAAGCATTTTAAAAATAATTTTTCAAGAATCTATAAAATGCTTGTCATTTTTGCTCAAACCTCACTTTCTATATTTGACATTTATGCTGCCTTGTAGGGGATAATTATTATTATTATTGCTATTTCCATGGCAAATGTTCTTAGAAGCTCCATTCCTTTGTGTTCCCTTCTTGGACCTTTACATCCAATACCCACCTCATAATGTGCACAGAGTTGAATTATCTTCATTTCCTACATTGTAGGATGAGTGTTCCACTCTGAAAGCATCTTTTGAAAGACTGACCTGAACTGACTCCTGCATGATTGTTTCCCAGAATGCTACAATCCTGACCTCTTCCCGTCTAGATTCAATCATTATCTGCTATATTCTTGTAATTTTCACTTCTTGCTCTTACATCTATATCACATACCTAATTCAGTCACCCTCTACCCTGAGTGGCTTTTTTATTAAAAAAAAAAATTAAAGAGTCATTGTAGATATTTACTACTGATGTTTATACCTGGATAAAATATGAATTGAATAAGGTTGTGTGTGTTTTCTTTTAAATTATAAATAAAATTTAGATTTTAAAGCTAAAATGAGTTTGCAGTAATTTTTGATAAACATTTATACAGTAATTTGATATTTGAGGATATGTAGGTAGCATAATGGCTAACAGCTCAGAATAAGAAATTGGCAAACCAGGTTCAAATTCTAGTTAAGTTCATTAGATTCACTTTTACATAAATAACCTTGTCAAAAGGTATGAATCCATTTCTTCTCCCCTCTCAACTTTGTTAAATATCAGGGGCAGACTGGGTTCCCTAACCTTGATTGGAAACTAGTCTAGGAGAAGGACACTTCTGAATTCAAAACTTAAGCACCTATTGTTAGACATGGGATGCTGGTAATATGTTTGTAAAATAAAAATCTGACTGATTTGAATAACTATGGATAATCCCAGTGGCGAGCAATTATCGAAAATGACTACACCAGGCATTGGGTCCAAGGAAAGTGTCATTGTGTCAATAGAAGTAAGAAGACATTTTCCTGGAAACATATAATGCCTAAAAACTTTCAAGAGAATATGTGGTTATAAACCTTATATAGTAAAAACAATGATTGCCTTCTGAAGAAATCTTTGAACGTCAATGTAGAATTGTAGAATTGATAAATGTTAGTGTTTATGCAATGCATTCTTTTTTTTTAAGTTGCCATTTCCTAGAAGACTTAAATTGAGTTTTTTTTTTTAATATGAAGACATTATTTAATTTCTTTTTGAAAATAAACTGAAAAAATTGTCAAATTAGTAATTTGAGTTGAGTAAAATGTTTTAATTGAATCTTTTGAATTTTTCAGGTGGCCCGAGTTGTATTGTTGTGGGTAAACAACCATTTTAATGATTTTGAGATGGATTCGGTAATGTGTGAATTTTTGGAGCAATTTGAAAATCTTTTAGTACAAGAAGTAAGTACACGAGTTTGAAAAAAGGAAAAATATTTGATTCATAAAAATTCATCTGTATTTCAGAGATGAGGTACTGTAATTATTTACACTATTTACATTTGTTCAGACTGTTGTCCTCAGTTTTGTTGCCATATTCATGACATTTCAGCCACTGTACACGCTGGCCTTCTTCAGGTGATTGGAATTTCAAACTGAACCCTTTATTTCGTCAACCAGGGTAGATTGTACTCAGGTGAACAAAATAAAAGCTTTTTCTAGAACAATCTACCCTGGTGGATGTAATAAAGGGTTCATTTTCAAATTCCAATCACCTGAAGAAGGCCAGAGCATACAATGGCTGAAATGTAAATATGGTAACAAAGATGAAGACAACAGTCTGAGTAGTGTAAATCATAAAAATTCATTAAGCAGAAAAATTAAGATGACCATTGCATAAAAATGATTTTTTTTTTCTCTCATTTTGATACAAGTTAAAAAGATGGAATTAAATACTTTTAAAATAAAATATGTACATCATCAAAGGATCAGTTTTATCTCTTACTAAATTCTGGCATTTATTTGTTTGTATGTATTTTTGGGATGGCTAAACAGCTGGATACTGGGAATGGAAAATTAGTCTTGTCCCTAATTATTATTTTATGCTCTTTCAGACGATAAGCAATCTAATAAATAAGTATTTTTGTTGTAAATTTTCAAGAACAAAGAAAATGTATAAATTCACTTTCATCATATGTTTAAATTTTATTACAATTCTTATTGCTTTTTAGAACAATAGACATTGCTGAGGCAAGAAAGTAGTTAAAATAATAGCAGTGTCAAGGGAAAAAATGTCTTTTGATACTTTTTTTTTTAAATGGGCATGAAGGTCCAAGTTTGCCAAATTTTTCACTGAAAATATCTAGCATATTTTTGTTTGTTGTTTTTTTAGTTTTTTTTTTTTTTTTTTTTAAGACTGGGCATAAGTAAAACAAATTCACAGATAAGGGTAGATAGAAAAAAAGAAAATATTGATAAGATAGTGAGGGTCACAAAGCACTGCCCATGTCCTCCCCACTCAGGGGTGGGAGATAATATGCACTGGCCTTGATCACAAATATATAATGATTTATACCTATGTTTTCAATCTTTTATTGAATTGCAGTAACATAATTTATGATCATCTGATAATGGTAACATTTTTTTAATTTCAGAAAATGAACAGTCAGTTACATCTTCTTGAGCTGGCTTGTTCAAGCAAAGCCCATCCCCGAACTGTAACTCTGACCAGAGCAACGCGTGAAGAAATTTTGCATTTTCTCATCATTGGAGGTTTAGAGAGAGGTACAGGCATTTTTGTTTCCCAGGTGGAAAAGGGTTCAAAGGCTTATGATGCTGGTTTGAAAAGAGGGGATCAGGTAATTCTTTAGTTTTCTTTTCTTTTTCTCTTCACCAATTGCGTTCCACTTTTAAATACTTGCCTTCTACAATCTCTTTAGCCTTTTACTGTTTGTACTGTGGGGTATAGACATTGTGGGATTTTAAAATATTAGAGATATATCATTTAGTTTTTAATGATATATATATTTATTGTCTTTAGTATTCTTTCTGACTTTTATAGAATAAATAAAAATGGCAGGGGGGGGAATTTTAGCTTGAAAAATTGTATTTTTATTTTTAAATCTTTCACATTATGCAAGGTGGTAGAGCCACAAAGACACAAGCGGTTACTGGGTATGAAAGAATTAGGAACAGAAACATTAATAATAAGCAAAAGAGTAATCAGGAGGACAGTAGATAGTGATTGACATTGCATTTAAATTTTTGCATTATTAAGTTGAGAAGTGCAAGAAAGAAAACTCAGCATAGAACATAGGGTTACATCTAGCCAACTTCGAGTAAATTGATGAGCTTTTGACACCAGTCTAGTACTGCTCTTAAATTCATAAAGTCTAGGTACCATATTGAAGAGCTCATTTGAACAATTAACATGAAAGTATTTATAGAAAAGACATAGAGAGGTACCCTTACGGCACTGGGAAAGTGACTGAAACTGAGCTACCAGATCAGGACCAATAATATTGCTGATTCTTTTTTGGGGATTTTATCAAAGAGCTCTAGATAGATAGCAGGGGCACCGGACCATATATGGCAGCAATATTCTAAGCATGAATGAATGGTAAACTTATAGATATTTATGATAAATTCTGGAGAGAAAAATTGTCTTGCATGGCACAGTGAACCAACTTTCTAGCAATGGATTCAATATAGTCTTTCGATTTCATGACAATAGAGAACATCATTAGCACAATAAGGTTCAATGAGTCACTATCATGAAGGTTATTATCAACCAATTAAAAAGAATTATACTAGAAAGACCCAGGAAAATTTAAATTTTCTGATTACTCTTAAGTTAATGATTGAATAAGCTCATGGCGAGTTTTACAACAATAAAATATCTGTAGAAATTCCACTATCGTGTCATTAAAATAGTTGAGCTTAACAACTTTAACAAAATATTGCAGTAACAATCATAAATATGAATGTTGCAACTTATTTTAAGAAGTAAGGGGATACAAATGAAAAGATTTGAAATTGCCAACTTTTTCCATTTCACTGAAACAGCCGTTAAACAATACTACCATCCCTTCTATTCATTTTCTCATTGTAATCAAGTGGTGTCTTTTCTCCTCTTTCCATGCACTCAAAATGGAATAGTCCATTATTTATGAGGTATTAGCAAGAGAGGTTAAATACTTTTATCTTCCGCTATTTCTTTCTTTCTAGCTAAATCCCCATCTTATGATTATTTCTCTTAATAATAATTTTAAAATAATTCAGCAGACAATATTATTTTATTTAATTTATGGTAATTGGATTTTTGGCAATTGCTTACTCATTTCCATTGTTCAATACGTGGGTCTGAAAAATGGCATTTATTGCTGTTGTCATAGCCTCTCGGACTTTTGACTGAGATCAGTTGTATCAGTAAATCTTTATTATCCCCAATAAAAACCAAAAATTCTTACAGACTAAAAATATTTTCTGGCTTTAAATAACCAGCAAAAGTTTGATAAGCCTTAGAAAACAATTCAATCAATATAAAGCAAATATGTCTAAAACCCCCAAATCTTGACAGATGTATTCAGTAATAGTAATATTAGCTGTTTCCTTATAAGGAAACATTTGGGCTTCAATGACCGAGCAGCCAGTACTTGGTGTTGGCTGAAATTTATAAAATCTTTCACTTAAAAATTTTTTTCAGTAAAACCGCTTTCTCAAGCTCAGAAGTTATCATCGCTATTTTTAATATTGATGTGGGTGGGGACATTCCTTTTTAACCTTTTCGAAGTTGTTTGGAATGTCAATCTTAATTATGTCATTTGTACTTGACTAATCACGAAAATTTGACTTGTCACTTTCTAAATGTTAAAGAAAAACGTTTTGTGGATTCTTCAAATACGCCACGGTCTTAACAGATTGTCAAGAACTGCACCTGAAATCTTTTTACTAATATTATCGATTGTATTAACATCCAAAAATCAAATCCACTCACTTGGCTTCTGACTTTGAAATATTTTAATGCTTCAGGGGAGATAATTCTGTAAGACATAATTTGGATTCTTTTTTAAAAAATTGACTTGAACACTTTTTTTAGTATAAATTTAAATTGAAGAGTTAAATTAAAAAAAACATTAAATGTGAAAATAACTCTTTACTGCTTTAAAAAATTTTGAGTCGTTTTTAGTTCTAATTTATCACTTAGAATTTTCATGAGATAACAATCATCCTTTTTATAACTGCTTAAAAGAACTTAACATGCCTTAACTTGTAAGAAAACCCCAAAATGATTTAAGAATAGACATTTGTCTATATTTAATTATTTTGATTTTAAACTCTTATTTTCTACATTATACTGAATATTTCTTAAATATATATGTCAGCAAGAATTAGACCTTCATCTTAGCCAAATTGTGGCAAATTTACTCTTCTGGTTAAAAAAAAAAAAAAAGAAGAAAGTTTTTTAGTTCTTGGACCATATAGTATTTGATGTTCTTCATTTTTTATTTTTATTTTTTTTTATTAAGGTTTTAGTAACTTTGTTCGTTCACATGGAGTTTTTTTGTTTTTTTTTTTTCTTTTCCTTTTCAAGTTTTCTTCATTTTATTTCTAACTTTGTTTTTAATTTTTTAGATTTTGGAAGTAAATGGTGTCAATTTTATAAATATTTCACATTGTAAAGCTCTTGAAACTTTGAGAGGAACAACTCATCTTTCTATCACAGTCAAATCAAACCTTTTGGGCAAGTATTGATTTATTTTTTGACCTTCATTTGCAAAGTTGAATATATTTCACTAATAGTGCATAATACATTTAGTTAAATACCAAATTCAAATATTTCTTCTAAAATATGACTTAAATATTCAACCCGGGTTCACAGTGAACTTGAAAACCGCAGAAATCAGGGAATTAAAAAACAGTCACTTAGTGTGTTTTTTATTTTGTTTAAATACTGGATTTATTAGGTAATTTTGATTTAATGTCAGGGAATCAGAATTTTCTATTGCAATTTGACATGAATCAAATGACATGTTTATTATATGCTAAATATTATTTATCTGATATTTGTTTCCTAAGATTAGTATTAAAAAAAAAAAAATGAATGAAAAATGTCTGATTCTTTTCTGAGTGGATGGACTGAAGTTTTAATCCTGAATCAGACGACCCTAGTAAAACTGTCACTTCTGCTGAAAGATATTTCATTGAGGAATATAGAAAGTGGAAAAAAACACATGAAATATAGAACTTCTTTTGGCATGCCACAGATAACATTATTTTTTTTAAAGTACACTCATGAAAAACTAGTTCCATATCAGACATAATTAAGACAATGTATGCAGTAAAGTAAAGATGTTACATTTTATATGATTAGAATGTTTGTGTGTCCATCTACCTTCTTAACTGTACACTGATATAGCTATATACTTACTTTCTAGTATATTATGCAATGGCACAGAATTGGGCAATTTCAGTGAATTTTTTTAGGAAAATTATCATGGAATTTTATTCATTGATTAAGCTGGAAGCCCTGTGAAATAATTTTATTTAGGCATCAGTAGAATCCTGTGAAATAATTTTACCACTGATGCTTAGGTAACTTATTGTTTATTATGCCTATTACAAATTGTCTTAGTTTTAATCTTTAACCCTAGAACATTAACCATCAATTAAAGTTACACCACTACTAACCATATTTTGAAAATATCCATTTTGAAATTATCAAAAAAAATATTAAATATAAATTTTTATTTGAAATATTTTACATGCAGGCACTTCAAACTTTGTACTTTGAGTTAACATTAATAAGAACTGAAAAACCTATTATTTAGGTAAGAAAATCAAGTACTGAAAATTGTAATTAAAAATAGGAAAATTTGTGCTGGGTACTATATACCCATGGTTAGTGTTCTAAGGTTAAGCATTAATTTGACAATTGTTTTTAAATTGAGTTTGAAAATTTAAAATTGCAATTTAAATTTTTTTTTTTTTTTCTTTTTTTTTCCATGTTCTGCAGAGTTCCGAGAATTACTAGCTGAGAAAAGATGTCTTAGCACAAATAAAGATGAGCCGGTCAAGTATACCGACCATAAGCAGCGGCTTTCCGCCCCTGATTTGGAGGCCTCCTTGGTACCGGCTATCTCTTCAACCAAAGAAAAAAAGAATGATAAAAAAGAACGTGGGTTCATGACAATGACTTACAAACCCAAGATTCGTAAAGCTTTGATGAGAATAAATTTTATACCAAAGCTAAACAAGTAAGTTTATTGGTTTATTAATCTTTGTTGAACTAATAATATTAAATGAATAACGTCCATTGAAATAAGCTACTATGTTAGTCTTTTGTGTATATTTGCCTCAGGGAAGCAGAATTGTCTATCTTTTAAATTGTTCTAATTCTGTCCCATAATAGTTGGTACATTTAGTGTATAAAATGTATACAAAAATGTAGCAAATGGGACAAAAATATTTTTTAATAGCTTTGTCCCATAATAATTGGTACATTTAGTGTACAAAATGTATATGAATATGTAACAACTATAATGGGACAAAAATAATTTTTTACTACCTCTGTCCCATAATTGCAAATTCAATCCCGGTAATAGTTAAATAACCTGATACCATACAGGAAACGTTTGACCAAACATTTAATGTTACTGCTGGTTGAAATTTATAAAAAAAATATTTTTTATCAAGATAATTTTTCAGGAAATGAGACTTTTCAAGCTCATTGTTAGCGTTCTTAGTATTGGTAGGAGTTTCCTTCCAATCCTTATGTTTTTGGTAATGTAGAAAGTTAACTTGATTATAACATTTTCTCTTCTAATTTACATGTGCTCTATGGTAATGGTTAAATTAGCTGTACCCATACAGGAAACGTTTAACATTCATTGACCGAACAGTTTGAATTACTATTGGATGAAATTTATAAAATCTTTTTCCAAGGAATTCTTTTTCTTTAAAAAATTAGATTTCTCAGCATCAAGATTTTCTTTGTTGCATTGTTCAAGAATGAGATTGATACTGCAATTGTCTGAAACTAGTTTGTTTGATCTTCCATTTGAAAATGTTTTCTGTCTCATTGATTCCAACAAGTTGATTTTTTTTCAGCTTTTGTTAAATAGATAAAATGGCTGGCAATTCTCAGAGTGGAACAAGTTATAGGATTTTGCAACTTAATGAGAATAAAATTTTATTTATTTAAAGTATGTAGAACAGAACAAAGACAACACTACCAATACCATTTAAAAGAGTTTTAATACAGCATGAGGGGGAAGCTAAGTTTAAATGTATGACTAAATCACTGTTGCTTTGGTTATCATTTCACCCCAAGCGAGACAATAAAGCTACTAAGATGCAAGAACTTACTGAGTGAAAGAATAAGAAAAAGAAAAACAGTAAGGCGAGAGAACAATAAAAGAACAGGAATTAAGATGACAGAATATAACCGTTTATATTTCAGAGATGAGGTATTGTAATTATTTACACTATTTACATTGTTCGGACTGTTGTCCTCATCTTTATTACCATATTCATGACCTTGAGGACATATGGCAACAAAGATGAAAACAATAGTCCAAACAATGTAAATAGTGCAAATAACAGAATATAACGATTGATATTGCATTTAAATTTTTGAAGATCAAAGTTAGTTGGAAAGCAAGAAGAACGTTTGTTTGGTGAGAAATGTGAGAAAAGAAACTGTTTGCATGTAACTTATAGTTACATCTAGATATTTTAACTGTAAAATAATGAGACCTAGCTACCAATCTAGTACTACGCTTAAATTCATAAAGTCAAGGTACCAAAAAAGAAAACTTATCAGAACAATTACCATGAAAATATTTATAGAAAAAGAACTAGTAAGCTATGTTATGATGTAAAAAATGAAATACTTTTTAATTTATTTTTATATCAGTTGAAATATTTAATCATTAACTTGAGGTGGTAGCATCTGTTAGGGTCCCAGCTATAGGCAAATAGTGAATTCCAAACAAACCACTATGAAAGTATAAAAATACATTTTTATAGTAAAAATACCAACAATATATTTTTATTTTAAAATATCAGTAATAACTCTTTATAGTAAAATTACCAATAATGCAGTTTTAAAGCAAAATGAACAGCAATACATTTTATCTGTAGTTGAAAGGGTACAGTTGTGTTCAAAATATTTAGATTTCAGCATTAAATAACCCATAGAGGTATTGATATGCCGCTAAACAAAATCAACCAACCTGTTCATTAACTTTCTCTTCACTTGAAAAAACTTCATAGTCAGGTGATTATTGATGACATAGTAAAAAAAAAAAATACTTATTTTTTTTAATTGGTACTCCCACACACACACACACACACACACTTTTAGCCTGTCTGGATGTTCTTTTGTCATATTTGCTAGAAGCAAAAAATGAATCTTATTTTGTTGTGTATGATACAAATATTTTGCTGTTAGAAAACCCGAGTGCATGTTGAAGGACCACGAAATCCTATTGCCACGAAAATGAAGTTGATTTCAAGATGACATTGTTTTGCCTGAATATTTCAATATATTTTGCTTTTATTTTTCTTCTTCTTCATCCAGTAGCGATAATAGTATGAACCATTCAGATGAAAGTTTATACACAAAGCCATCTCGCAAGTCTTCCACCTCGTCGTCTACATCATCATCTACTGCTGGTATGTCTAGTCATTTGTCTGTTAGCAACCCTGACTTATCGGTGTCGGGATTGAATATTGATGATGCAAAAACAGAATTCCCTGAAAATGTTCTAAAAATTTATCGGTCTGACCAATCTTTCAAGTACCTTCCTGTTTACAAGGTAAGCATGAAATATGTAAATTTGGGATCAATTCAAACTTTGCTGTCAATATTTCAGTGAGACCAACTTAATGAGAATGGGATATTCATTGTTTTCAAACATTGTAAACTTACACCAAAAAAAAAAAAAAATTTGAAAACATGGATCTTTTGTGCCCACAAAAAGACAGTATCAAAAGGATGATTTTTTTTCCCATTGACTCCACTTTTATTTTAACTACCTTCACTCTTCGGCAATGTTCATTGTTTTAATGAGCGATGATTAGAATTGTAATACAACCTGAACATATGATTAAAGTGAATTTATACATGTAAGATTCATCTACTTTCACTCTTCAGCAATGTCAGTTGTTTTAATAAGTCTTGGTTAGAATTGGAATAAAACCTAAACATGATGACAAGGAATTTATACATTTTTTTTTGTTTTTGAGAATTTACAACAAATGTATTAAACACTATTATATTGTTTCTTTACAAGAATGATATTTACCACATTATAAAAACTAATATAGCATAAATTTATCATTTACCAATTTATAAGGAAATAATATGAACATTTTTTTATTTATAAAGATTTACTAATTATGAAATATGTAAACCAATTATAAGGAAATCCTTATTATTTACCATTTCATAAAGTTTGAATCTATTTGAAATTAGCCAATGTTTTTCCAATCATTCCAATAAACAATCTAATAAATAAGTAGTGTTTAATATTTTTGTTGTCATTTCTCAAGAACAAAGAAAATGTTTAAATTCACTTTCATATTTTTAGTCTTTATTACAATTCTAATCATTGCTTTTTAAAATGATAAACATTGCTTAGGAGTGAAGGTAGTTAAAATAATAGCAGTGTCAATAGAAAAAGCATTCTTTTTGACACTCTGTTGTTTTTGTGAGCACAAAAGTCCATGTTTGTCAAAAATTGAAGTTGTAATTAAGTTTGAATTAACTGCTTTTTTTATTTGGATTAAAAAAAAAAAAATGATTGACAGTAATTGTGACATTTCTGAACTAGAAGTTTTAACAATTTCAATTGTTAAAATTTTTCTCAGATGAGTTATCATGATTTACATTTGAACTTATGACTTTGTCTTCATTATTGTCACAATGTTTCAGCCATTATGTCCTCCAGACTTCTTCAGGTGTCTGCTGATCCAGGTAACCTTCAGGGAATTTTAAATCAAATATTTTATATAACTGATGGGGGTAGAGCATTCTCATTCTGCTGTCACTGTCTAGGGATAACTTAACTTGTCTGATGAGGTGATAGCATAGTAGATTAAAGCATTGGTTTGTAAAACTAGTGGCATCATAATTGGGAGTTCAATCCCTAGGATGGGTAGCACAGAATCATACTTTGTGGAAATAGTGAACAATAACTGAGCAGTACAAAAAAAAGATGAAGACAAGATCTTGCAATCTATGGAGAGTGGAATAAGAACAATCTACCTCCATAGATTGAATAAACAGTTCAGTTTGAAATTCTCAAAAGTTTACTCACTTGATGAAGGACATAGATCACAATGGCTGAAATAAAACTTTGTTACTCTGCAAAGTTTATTCCAAAACCTCACCAAATGAGCCTTTATTTTTTTATTTTTCTTAACTTCTTTTTAGCAACTTTGTATGTTCTATAGATTTTAATTAAGGAGAAAAACTGAACCAATCTTCATCACATTTTAATGAGAATCTTTCTCAAGTGTTTTTAAAAAGTATTTTGCAAAACCCCTCAATTCATAACAAAGATAAATTGTTTTTCTGTTTTTTTTGTTTTTTTTTTCTGTTTTTTTTTTCTGTTTTTTTTCTGTTTTTTTTCTGTTTTTTTTTTTTTTTTTTTTTTTTTTTTAAAAAAAAAAACACTTAAAGTAAAAAAAAAACTTTTTAATTATTTATTTTCATGTACTAAATTAAACTTATGTTTTATTTACTTCTAAAAATTTAAGATTTAACTGTTTAAATTTATTCAAAACAAAAAAAATTGATATTTATCTTTTGAAATTTGTTATAATCATTGCTTCCCCCTACTTCTTTTTTATTTAAAGGAAACTGATGCAAGAACTACGGTTATGTTAGCACTTCAAGAGTTTGGAATCAATGAACCTAGCCGGTGCGTATTGTCATCGTGATGTTTTCTTAATATTAATAATTCACATTCATCATTGAGTTTGTGGTAATATCAGTATTGATTTTTTTTTTTTTTTTTTTTTTGAGGTGGTGGGGAGGATTCCAGTTCAAGGTTTAGATCATCTTAAAAAAAAAAAAACTTGTCAAATGTTAAATTTCTAGATATGTGTATTTAATAATTTGTTCCAATGAAAAAGAATTAGTTTTACTTTTTTAATTTTGTTTTTGTTTGTTCTCTACCCCCCCTAAAACTAATATGTATTTGTCTCCAATTTCCAGTTAAATTACGCAGATCTCTAATAATGATGAACCCTTATTTAAAACGCTGTCAGTCGTTTATTAACATGTTAGCTCCCAAGCCACATTTCCCTTGTTTTCTAAAGGTCCTACCACTATATCTTAATTTTGGTACACGAGTATATATGAGGCAAGGATATCATAGGTATCATTTATTACCCATGACTCGCTGGTTTGTTGTTTGGTACATGGGTCCATTTTACAACCCCAAGTCCCGCATGGTACAGCTCTATGTATGTATAAATGAAACAATGATTCCCCCCCCCCCAAATGAAGAATATTTAAATTTTTTTCCCTGGTGTACCATGGTTAATTTTACCTAATTAGTCCAAGTTGTATTTCTTTGCTTTAACGATTGAATAGCTTTTATTCGTTTTATTTTTGGAATAGAATGTTATAATTTCCGAGTAACGTACGACAAGGGAAGCAACTCCGTTTTTAAAATTTCAATTATTTTTTGGACTGCCCATGACGTACGTATGCGCAAAAACAAACAAAAAAAAAAACGATATGTCAAAAGAACGTTTTTTTTCTCTTGACACCGCTATTACTGTATCCTCCCTCGGATTTTTATACGACACAAATATGAATTTAACAATTTTATCTAAAAAATTAACAAACTATAAAACACAAATTTTTATTTTTTTATTTTTAAATAAAAACACTGATTTATAAATTTAAAAAAAAAAGAAAAAAAAAAAGAAGCATTTTCAAGGCATATCTTTCATTTGTTCTCGCCATTAAATTCACTGAAATAGTTTGCAGAATTTTTTTGCTCCTTCATTAAATGAAAGAAGTCTCTTGTATGGGATGAAACCTGGGGGAATTTTGTGTAAAAAGAATCTGCTCCTGAAAATTTTAGAAAAATTAGCAATGATTTGAATTTTTTTTAATTTAAAATTTAAAAAAAAAATTGTTTTGCAAAGAGAGGAATGGAGTTAACCCATAATTGGTGTTTCAGACTTGAATTTTTCTCAATTAGGTATCCTAGATCACAATTATACAAAGAAAATTTAAGAATTTCCAACATATGTCACCTGAAGGCTGGAGTGTACAACAACTAAAACGATGTGAATATGGCAGTAAAGATGAGGACGAAAGTCTGAACGATGTAAATGGTGTAAATAGTTACAATCCCTCATCTCAGAAACACAGACAGATACAAAATTTAAGAATTATATATTTTTTATTATGGGATTTTGAAAATGTGATTGCCCATTTTATGATAAACATTACTAAATGGACCCCACCTCACTTTGAAAATTAAAACAATATTAGATATACAATAATCTGAAAAGAAAATGTAGAATATCAACAAAAAGAATTTTTTTAAAAAATTTATTATGATCAGGTCAAGTTTAAGCCTGCTACTGATGACATGCAACCCAATACAATCTGCCACATGGATGGGTCGTTGGCATCTAATGCAGCTTCCCCACTAGCTTTTCTGCTAGTGAGGAGGGTGGCATGTCACCCACCAGGATGAAAAACAAGACCTGTCAAAATGTGGAGATGAGCTTTTATACGAGCTAGTGTATATATATATATATATATATATATATATATATATATATATATATATATATATATATATATATATATATATAAGATGGGGGTCTCAAGCCTTGAATGGCAACCTTCCTAGAGATAGTGTCTGCTTAAAAACACTTGGTGTACTTGGTGTACCTGTGAGTGTCATCTGGTTGTGTAAAACCTTACCTCAAATCATTATGAGAGATATCCTCTGTCAGGCAGGACGAACCTTGCTTTATGTGAGATTAATTCTGGTTCTACCTCAACCAAAAAAATTTATTTTCAAAGTTATTTCATGTAGCAGGTTTGTATACATTTTATTATCTCATAAAATAAAATATTCTTGTAAATAAACAATCTAAGAAATAAATAATGTTTAACAGTTTTGTGGTCAATTCTCAAAAAAAAAAAAAAAAAGTTTAAATACAGTTTGTTTGTGTTTTATTAAAATCCTAAAAATAATTTTTTAAAACAATAAAAATTATTGAGGGAGTATACAAACAGAAACAAAAAATACATCTTTTATTTTTTTTTTTTATGTTTTTCCAGGTATGTTTGTTAAACTTAGCCACTTTTTTTGTTATACTTAACAGGTATTTATATAGACAGGCAATAAAAATACAAAAGTCATTATTGTTGAGGAATGTTTTTAAACATTTAAGCATTGATTTTTATAAACAAAATTAGCAATTTTGCAAAAGAAGTTTTACATTTTTGATATGATTTAAAAAAATTCTTATGCACTTTCATTTTTCTTTTTCAGAAATTACTGTCTTTGTGAAGTTACTGTTACTCCTGGAGGTTTGACTAAACAAAAGAGATTACCGGAGCAAATGACCAACCTCCATGAGAAACTTGGGTTAAATAGCAGGTGACGTTTTAATTTTTTCCCCTATTTTTATAAGATTTTTATATTATATCGAAGTAGTTTTAACCCATGCCATCAAAGGTTTTATAATTAATAAGCCTTGGCATTGGCTATTTAAAGCATCATCAGAGACATGGTTCTACTGTCAAATGTTGAGAATGACATAAACAGAACATTTGGCAAATGAGGAAGTTTTTACAGCAAATCCTCTGTTAATAATCAAAGAGAGACAGCTAATGAAGAAAGAAGACTTGGAGACTTTAACACTCACAAGACAGATTGAAAGCAAATGGATGTTGGAACAAGTACCAGAGAGACAGAAAAGTCATAAAGGAGAAAGTAATGCTGAGAGCAAGTAAAAGCAGGAAGCTGTGAAGAGCCATGATTGTCAATATCCTGAAAGAAAATAGTGGGGCAGATTAAAGGCAAGTGAATCAGAGGAAAGCTGTGAATAACCTACTTGACAAATCTGAACAAATAGAGGAACAGGTACCACAAAGAAAAGAGAAAATAAAACGGGAAGCTGTGGAGAGTTATAATGCTCACATCATGCAGAGACAAATGTAGGGAGAATGAAGAAAGAAGGTTTAGAGAAATGAAAGATCGGATAATTTGTTTCGCATTAGAACGCCATATAATTTGTTTTGCTTGAGAACGTTGGAAATTCACTTTGCTTGAAACTTCTCAACCTCACCTGCAAGAAGTTGTATTTCTTCCCTTCACAAACTGGTAACCCCCATCCAATTAAACCCTTTATTCAATCCATAAGACAGATTGTTGTTCTGCTTTCCATGCCTAGGGGAGATAACTTTTATCAGTTATTATTCCCCAGTATTATTCACCTTTGTGTCACTTCGTTGTTTCTTTTCAACTTTAAACAACCCAGGGATTGAACACAAAACAAGGGAATCAGATATGTTTTAACTATGGCTTTTATCCACTTGCTTATTTCTCTTGTTCTCTCTTGAAATTTACTTGAGCTCAGTCAAGTTTGAAGACTCGTTCTTCCCCTCCCTCTTTCTCCTCTCGTTCTTCCCCTCCCTCTTTCTCCTCTCGTTCTTCCCCTCCCTCTTTTTCCTCTCGTTCTTCCCCTCCCTCCTTCTCCTCTCGTTCTTCCCTCCTCCTTCTCCTCTCGTTCTTCCCTCCCTCCTTCTCCCTCGTCCTTCCCTCCTCCTTCTCCTCTCGTTCTTCCCCTCCCTCCTTCTCCTCTCGTTCTTCCCCTCCCTCCTTCCTCTCGTTCTTCCCCTTTCTCCCTCCTTCTCCTCTCGTTCTTCCCTCCTCCTCCTCCTCTCGTTCTTCCCTCCCTCCTTCTCCTCTCGTTCTTCCCCTTCTTCCTCTCGTTCTTCCCCTCCCTCCTTCTCCTCTCGTTCTTCCCCCCTCCCTCCTTCTCTCTCGTTCTTCCCCTCCCTCCTTCTCCTCTCGTTCTTCCCCCTCCTCCTTCTCCTCTCGTTCTTCCCCCTCCCTCCTTCTCCTCTCGTTCTTCCCCCTCCTCCTTCTCCTCTCGTTCTTCCCCCTTTCTCCCTCCTTCTCCTCTCGTTCTTCCCCCCTTTCTCCCTCCTTCTTCTCCTCTCGTTCTTCCCCCCTTTCTCCTCCTTCTCCTCTCGTTCTTCCCCTTTCTCCTCCCTTCTCCTCTCGTTCTTCCCCTTTCTCCTCCTTCTCCTCTCGTTCTTCCCCTTTCTCCTCCTTCTCCTCTCGTTCTTCCCCCTTTCTCCCTCCTTCTCCTCTCGTTCTTCCCCCTTTCTCCCTCCTTCTCCTCTCGTTCTTCCCCCTTTCTCCCTCCTCCTCCCTTATCCACCCCCTCATTCTTCCCCACTTTGAAAAACATTATCAGTTTTTGGAAACAATAGAAATGTATTCTGTTAAGGAATAGACTTTTTTTTTTTTTTTAATCAGTTTAAATTTTCACACAAATGTTTTGAATGTTTTCCATTGTCATAAACTGTCTTATTTTTCTCACTCTTTTACACATAGATACTACTTAAAGGACAATATCTGCACTGACACACTTGTACCAGAAGAGATGATGGGGGAACTTATTAAAGAATCTCAAATCAATTTGCTGCAGCTGAATACGATGGAGTTGGCCTCCCAATTGACCCTTTCTGACTTTGAGGTGTTCCGAGAGATTGAACCCACTGAATATATAGATGACATATTTGGCATTAAATCCTTGTTTGGTTACCACAATATTCGCAAGTTTGAAGAGGTAAGTAATGATTAAATTCTTATGCCTCAAAATATTCACCCAATGTGTCCAGGTGGGAGCAGATTTATTATTTTATATGTGGCATTTCTCTTCAGGATGTGGACGTTCATGGTTCTTCACAACTTGTCTTTTGTAACTCTTAGCAATGTTTGTCTTTTTTTTTTTTTTTCCCTGTCACTCGCACACTATTTTATCATTCATTTACACATGCTTCTAAGATTACTCAGAGTTTTCCTTTCTTGCTTGATTACACTCGTTCTTTATATCAACTGCGATATCTTTTTGACACTAAAGAAATCCCTCAATTAATGTGCATTTGATTAATGCATTTTCGTTGAATGCGCTAAAATTTTTATATACCAAAATTGTATGCATGATATTCGATTGATGTGGAAAAACATTCTTCAGTTTAAGCATAATAATTGAAAATTGATCTTTTTATTATTACTGATGTCCACATTAGCCCAGTGGTTCTGAACCTTTTTTTTACCTATGGACCCCTTTTCTCTCCTTTTCTTTTTTCTTGGTAGACCCCTTAATAGTTATTTGACATAAAACAACAATATTCTATTTTTCACGTTACTTTGAAGTTATAATAATCAAACAAATATTATATAATTAAGCTTTATTTTGAAATGAAAACTAATTTAATGCAAATAAATTATACTACAATAATAATAATAATTTTTATTGACCAATATCTTGTATTACAATATTACAATGTTTCTTCCATGGTCAAGGCTATGGGGAGCAGGGCTCTTCAGGTAATTGAATTCACTGCAGCATTTATTTATGCACACTGGTTAAAAATTTTAATAAACCTAATTTAAGTGTGTGATATTGGGGGGGGGGCATATTTATTCAATGAGATCCCTGTGGTTGATGCTGCTCTATGAGTTTCTTTATATCTGGTTCCATCAATGTTAATGATAGTCGAAGGTCATCTCTTTTGACAAGGTCAATTCTATTGCGAACTTTTGATAACAGTTGAGGAACACTACTAAATCCCGATTCAACAAGATGTTGAAAAAGCAATAACGTAGATCTGTGCTTTATCCCAGGGCAAAAGGGTTTCTTTGTAGCAATATCATTTGTTTTCCATATATTGTACTTTCTATCTTGGAATTTTGCATGCATTATTTCATCATTTTGTAATTCGATGAGGGGCTCTTGCAAAGAGATGTCTATATTGGCAACATTAACTTTCAAAGGAAGTGAAACCCAAGTCAGTATATCCATCATGAGTAGGTTACTAAAGCAAGTTATGAAAGAAAGAATGAATTAATCATCCATATACATATATATATTTCAATATAGTGTAAATTACAGTAGAAATTTAATTTTTAATAATAAAAATCATTCTGAGTTGGCTTTCTTCATGGACCCCCAGAAATATTACATGGATCCCTAGGGCCATGTGCACTCCAGTTGAGAACCTCTGCATTAGCTGCATTAATTGAGGGATTCCTGTCCTTAAATCAACTGGTCCATTCAGGAGGAAAAAAAAATAGGGAAAATTTAGGGAGGCGGGGTAATTTTTCTAGCTTAGTGTTCTTTATACCTTCTTTTAGGCTGTGACATTTGTGAGAACATAAAAATATTTGTTATCAATTTAAATGAAATGTTATGTTTATAATATCAATACAATGTCAAATCAATTCTTGACTTTTACAGAACTATTGGACTTAGGCTAAGTCACTTGGCTGTTATTGATAAATTTGAGACAAAAAGCTGGGATTGAGGAAAAAGAGAATAAAAAAACAAGGAATAATTTAACCAGTTATTGCTCCTCCTCCTTCATTAGAACTCATTCAAGGAAAGTAAGATAATTCTTGAAAAAACAGACAAAAAAGGAGCAACAAATAAAAAATCAGTACTTCATGTCAGTAATATATTGATAACAGAATATTTTACAGACGAACCACATTTGTATTTAAATTTTTCAAGATAAATGTCAATTATCTTCTTTTGTCTTAATTCTTTTTCTTTTATTGTTCTCTATCATTTAATAACATTTTTTTCTTTCACACTCAGTAACCCCTTAGTAACTTTATCTCTTTGCTTGGGGTGAATGTTAAAAAAAAAAAGCATAAAAGAGCATGTCAGTGTGTCAAACTGGTGTTTGCATTATTCTATAATATTCTTGTATTTTCATCTTTTGCAGCTTGCTAATCGAGAAATGTTTTGGGTCGTGACTGAAATTTGTAGTGAAACTAATCTCGTTAAACGGATGAAGATAATAAAACATTTCATTAAAATTGCAAGTAAGTCATTTACATTTCATTGATTGTATTTGTTTATTTCTTCCTTTTATTCTAATTTTTTCTCTCTTTATTTTATAAAAAAAAATTTTCTTTTATATGGTCTATTTTTTCTTATAAAAACTTAAAATGTTTTTTCTTTTATTTTTTAGACTGGTTTTGTTTTGTTTTGTTTTTTTTGTTTACTTGCTTTTTCTCTCACTCCCCCCCCCACGCACTTCCCCCACTCACTTCCCCCTCTCCCCACCCCCTCTTCCCCCCTCTTAGCTGGTCTGGTTTCCAATTTTTTCTCTTATAATTTTTTTTCTCTTTTTTTCTTTTCAGAACACTGTAAAGACTACAAGAATTTCAACTCTATGTACGCAATTATTGGTGGCCTTGGCCATGGCGCAGTCTCCAGGTTAAGGAACACTTGGGATAAATTGCCCAATAAATATCAAAAAATGTTTCATGTGAGTCTGAGTTTTGGTTCATTTTATCGGAATCAACATTTTCTATTTAATAATTATGGCTTCACTTTCATAAACGATGTCCATCTTATTACCATTTTAGTTTATCATGTTTGGACACTTTCTTATTTAAATTCCTTCAAATCCTCTGTATCAGATTTTGTTAAGACTATGACTGTTCTTTAGTCAAATGGTTGCAGTGTTAGCTTTCAGTCCATGAGTCTTGATTTTAAATCTCAACTGGGTCAATTCATCAAACAGGTGACTTTTGGGGGGGATATCATCCTAGGGAGTCAATCCTAACATTTGGTATGAGAAGTTCCCAAAAACCATATGGCAGATTGACTCAAGACTTGTGAATGAAATTGTGTAGACAAAATTGTTTTGAAGCCATCAACATTTGTGCACATATATAGCCACAAGCTCATAACTAATGGTTCAATAGAAACACTTCATGTTTGATTTTTATAGATATAATTTATTTAAATAAATGCTTTGTTTTTAATTAAACAGTATTAATTACATTTATCTGCCTAAATGTTTGAGAAATTTCATAGAAAATATGTGCTTCTTCAACAGGAATCAAACCTGTAACTCTTATAGGAACTGTTATTTGATCTGACGTGCTGTTAACCATTCAGTCACAAAGAAGCATCTGCTTAGCAAAGTCCAAATTACTGTTTATAAACACACACCTTTGATGATTTTTCTCGACTGGTTATGTCTGCTCATGAAACATAATATGAAATGGATTAAGTTTGACAATTATTTAATATATTTTCTGTTTGTACATTATTTTTATAGATATTTAATTACATTTAAGGTGTGTGTTATAAACAGTAATTTGGACATTGCTAACCAGACACGTCTCTGTGGCTGAATGGTTAACAGCATATCGGATCAAATTACTGTTCCCATTAGGGTTACAGGTTCGATTCCTGTTGGAGAGCTATGAAATTTCTCTAAAATTCAGGCCGGTAAATGTAATTAATACTGTTTTATAAAGAACAGAACATTTCTTTAAATAAATTATATCTATAAAAATAACGTATAAACAGAAAATATATTAAATAGATAAAATTGTTTGGAAGTCATCAACATTTGCATGCATACGTAGCCACCATCTTCACAACTAATGGTTCGATAGAAGCACTTAGATTGGAAATCTAACTTGTCTAAATAATCAATCTAAAGTTAGTTACTCAACAAAAGCACCCTTACCCCAGCAGCCTGACCAATTGCAGGGATGTATTGGCCTATAAAAAAAAAAATATGCAAATTTACTGCAGGCAGAAATTGTGCATCATTTTATATTTTTAGTGAAGTCTAAGCTAATTTTCAGCAGTTCCTTTCATAATGGCTTTAAGATTCTCTGTAGAATCAAGGTTGTTCATTTCCTGGTCAATTACAAATTTGTCTTTTTTTATGGTTGGTGCAGTACTGTTTTCTTTTCCATTGAATATTTGGGTTGCAATCGCTTTTATGCTACAAACTGTGAGATCAATATGGAAACCAGCCATACCAAAAAATGCAGGAAAATCTTAGACTTCCCTCTGCACAATTATCGATACTTCTAAGCTTCATCACTATTAGTATGTGTTTCTTTCAGTGTTAGATATTCAGCTAGAAAGAATGAAGTTGAATTTTGTTTTGTTCTTTTTCTTTCTTTTATGGCCTGAAAAGCATCTGAAAACGTTCTTTGTATTCTGTCATGCAATTGGATTTTTTTCATATTTTTTCTTTTTTATTCTGTTTGAAAAATTGAAATGTTTCTTTTTAAATAAATTACTTGAGAAAAATTAACTTTTATTCTGATCCTTTTTTTTTGTTCTTATCTAAACTTTGTTTTCATTTTAAACTTTCTTTTAGGATCTCCAAGAGCTTATGAATCCCTCTCGTAACATGGCCAAGTATCGAACATTGATCAGCCCTGAGAATACCCAACCCCCAATGGTAATTTAATTTTATAAATTTTGACTTGCATGTGAAAACTGCTAATAATCAGGACATTTTTATTTGAATGGCATAGTCAAACTAGTAAATGCAAATTGTTTTAAAGTAAGCTGCTATTCCTTTCAAATCAAATTTGATGAACACAAAGCTGTAACCAAAGGAAATGGCTAAATCTAGCAATACTCTGTCTGTGTGTGTGTGTGTATATATATATATATATATATATATATATATATATATATATATATATATGAGAGGTGGGGCAAGAGTATACATTAGCTTCTCTGGCTTGATGCCCAGATAATTGACAGGATGCGCTGTTGGGAAGTTGAAAGTGGTGATATTTAAGTTAGATTACTGTGGATTTCAATGCTGATTTTGCTTTTTGAATTGGCAGAGTACTTAGGTGGTGCTATGGTTTAATTTTGATCCCTAACACTATTGAAATGGTTGGTGTGTGTGTAATATATATATATATATATATATAAAAACACCAACTAACATTTCTCTTATCACTGTTTTTTGTAGAAATAGTTTTCCCCTTTTGGTTCTCACATTATACACTTGGTGAAAGCTGGAAAATAGGTAGGCTGAAATGTTAATAACATTAGGAACATGGAGTTGAATTATCAAAACAGCAGTATATGCCATGGCCCCACCATGCTAGGTATATGTTCATGGTCTCACCACTACTTGTTACTGAAATATTTATAGTAAATAGTTATCAGTCCTATGTCTAACCAGTTTTGAATTCAGTTTTCCTTCTCCTGGACTGGTTGCCCACAAAGGCTAGAGATCCCAGCCCTCCTTGCTATTTGACCCATAGCTGGAAGGGGAAGACAGTTTCATGTCTCTGCTAAAGGCATTTAAGAAACTCAGTTGGAATTGTAATGAATACTGATTCAACTTTCAATGTGATAACCGCTACGCTACAAGTACATCCATATTAGTCTCTGCTATCAGCTTATTTCATTAAAACAGTTGTGGGTTATACATTTTGAATCGGGTGAGGATCTTTCACGGTGTGTTGTTTGTGGTGTAATGGATAGTAGGTAGAAATGAGAAATTTGAGAGACAATTTTGAATTCCAGTCACATTCACTGCATCATTACGTGCAAATACCCAGTGAAAAGGTATGAATTTATTTCTCCCCTACCTATGGGTTAAATAATAGGGTGAACTCAAGTCTTTAGCTGGGGTTGGTAACCAGTCTAAGAAAAGGACAACTCTGAAATCAAAACTAGTTGAGAATGGTGATAGCAACTCCATCCCATTTTTATAAACCTCAACTTGCTAATGTAAATCACAGCAGCAGCGCTTACCATGCTGAGAGCTGTGCCCCCCCCCACTTCTCAGGGAATCCATGGGACTTGAGAGCTGCGGGGCCCCATGCTCCGCGGGGAGTCCATGGGTCTTGAGAGCTGTAAGTGAATGTCAATTTTTTTGTATTTTTTGCAGTTGCCTTTCTTTCCTGTTATTAAGAAAGATCTGACGTTCATTCACCTCGGCAATGATTCTGTTGTTGATGACTTGATCAATTTTGAAAAATTAAGGATGATTGCTAAGGAAATTCGTCACATATGTGACATGTGTTCTGCCAGATATGTAAGTATAATTGTTTTTTTTGGTTTTGTTCTTTAAAAAAAAAAAATGATCAACATCTTTAGACTCTCAAACAAAATTTCAATGATCTGTTTTAATTGTCCGTGTATGTGGATAGAGACATTCCCTAATAATTAAATAATTGTTTTTAACATAATTGCCATCTTTGTGAAGGTACTTAATTCACTTGTAAATATTGCAATGAACAGATCTTCACTAAAGGAGGCCCCTTGCCTTGACCCCTTATTGGGACTTAAGCTTGCCCCAGAACTTTAGTGGAATTTGTACATATGATTAACCGCTAAAGATATTGGAAAAATGTCTGAACTCATGTACCATTCCAGTAAGTACCCGATTCCTCCTATCTTTTCAAAAACCAGATTAGGCTAAAGATTCAGTTTTGCTGCCATATCTAGGCTGGAGCCGCCCAGTTTTCACTTTCCAGTTTTGTGGTTGATTAATTCTCACTGCTCTGTCGCTATTTCCATGGAAAATGTTTAGACGAGCTACATTCCTTAGCTCTCTCAATTCTAACCCTTGCCAGTAAGACTTGCTTTGACACATAACATTGAGGCAAACCCCACCCTCATTCCCTTCATATTCTTTTAATAAAGAGGAACTTCCATTTGAATAGCTTCTTCCCAAGAACTGTTGCTTGTCAAACAGAATGCTAGGAGCCATAGCCTAAATTGGAAGAAGCATTTATTCCTGCAGAACAAATATTTTTTTTTCTTTTTGTTTGTTTTACAGCATAATCCTCTTCCTTGTTAATTTTATTTATAAACATGGAATTGTCTTCAAGTAGATTTAGGAAGATTTTACATGCATACTTCCAATTATCAATAACATGTATGTATGTGCAGTTGTGTGTACAAAGGCACCTTGAGTCAGTGTGCGTAGAAGGGCACCTTGAGTCATGTGTGCATACATGTGCATATTTGTTCTACCCAGTCTTTGTTTACATCTAAAGCATACACATAAGTGCTTCTCATGGTTGAAACATTGTGCAAGTGGCAAAAATGCATTTGTGCAGCTGTTGATGTACATTTATAAAAAACAAAGAATATATGCCAATTAGAATGCAAGAAGAGATTTGAAAAAGGTTTGACAAAGAAGGAATGACCAAATAATATTCTGACTTCTGTCAGAATTTCTGGGATGTGAAATTATCACTATTTACATTCAGACTATTGTGTCCTCATCTTTGATAACAACAACAAAGATGAGGACAATAGTCTGAATGTAAATAGTCATATTCTAATATATGGTCATTTTGTTGGATTTTGCGAATTGGGCTAGACTGATAACTTTTCAGCATCCCATTGTGTGTGTGTATTTAGGTAAAACAAAAAAATCTATAGCTTCATGATTAAAAAGTAGATTTAAAATAAGAAACTTGCATTAGAAACCAGCTTCTGTAGTAACTGATTAGAAAGAAGGAAAAAAAAATCTTTCTCCGACTAACCTCTATCCAAAACTATCTGATCCACATAAGATCAAACTATACCTAAAAGAATGGTAGTTTAAAACCTTTATCTGGTCTTAAATAACCCTTTAGTGGTTGAAGAGTCCTTAAGTAGAAACAAACCCAAACCTATGTATTTTGTAATAGTCCTACATGTAAATATTTGTTGTATACGTTTAAAAATATTTTTTGGCTGTTTCTTCAAATACAGGATGTGAGTAATATGTATCTGAATGCCCATAGTGTATATGGCAGCCACACTGTGTCAGGTGTGGCAACACTGAAAAGAACAAAAAACAGGAGAGGTTCGGCAATACCCAATATTAAGAAGATGTATGAAGAGGTAAGTTGCTATTTTATTTTTTTTAAATTCTTTCTTGTAACAATGTTTTGTTATTATTAAATTTGGAGAGAAAAAAAAATGGTTGTCTTATTTGTTGTTGCAAACATTTTGTACTCTCTGGTGATATCAAAATATATTCTACAGGAAACAAAGAAAAAAAAAAGCCTACTTGGGTTTGTACCACTCGAGGCTGTAACTTTGACTTTTTTTTTTGTACCTATAAAAAGGGTACGGTCATTAGATCAGGCTCAAGCCTGCTACTGGCAACATGTAACTCAGTTCAACCTGCCACATAGATGGATGGATGGTTGGTGTCTAAACCAGCTTCACCACAAGCTTTTTTGCTGGTGAGGAGGATGGCTTGTCATCCCAGAGGACAAAACACAAGACCTGTCAAAGGGCAAATGAGCTTTTTGTAGGAGCCGACAGACACACACATATATATATATATATATATATATATATATATATATATATATATATAACAATGAAAATATTTGTTAATCTATATGGATAATTCCAAAGAGGAATGAGTGTGTGAGTTGGATGTCAGGAATATCATGAAATCATTATCACAAAAGATCCTCTATCATGCAGGACCCACTTTGCTGCTTGTAAGATTAATCTCGGTACTGCCTCAACAAAATAAATAACACAGCATATCCTCCTGGCGTCAGTTTAAAATGATGCCTTCTTTCTCCCTCCCCCCATATATCTAAATTGTCATATAAGTCGACATAATAATCATAATAGGGAAGAAAGAATAATCAATCTTCAATAAAAAAAAAAAAAAAAACGAAAACATTGTCAATTTTGAATCTGTTCATTTGCATACTCTTACTTATTTAATTACCTGCATTCATAATTGTAAAATTTTGTTAAAGTTGTTAAACTCAAACATTTAACTATTTATTTCCACAGATATTTTAATGGCGTAGAACTTGCAATTAATTTATTCAATCATTGACTTAAGAATTATGATTCACCAGAAAATTCAAATGAGAAAACTCGGAAATTTTCTCAGGTACTGCTAGTAATTTTGGAAAGTGAAGCTATCCCCAGACATGTTTAGGTGACTTTCACCTCTCCTCGCTACACACACAACCTGACACGTTTCAGTAAAACTTTCACTTTCCAAAATTATAATTTAGAGATATAGAAAAAAGGAGTTTGTTCAATTGACTTCAGGAGTATATGGGTTAAAATTTTATTTTTCTGGGATATGGGTTAAAATTTTATTTTTCTGGGATATGGGTTAACATTTTATTTTTACTATTTGATATTTTTTATTTTTTAAATGACCTTTCCCAATATCATATTCTTTTATTTAAAAACAAAAAAAATGTTAATATGAAAAACTTTTAATGCTCTTATAAATGATCAATATTGGCATTTTGGTTGACCAAGTCTTTTGAAATCTTTTTGTATTAAAAATGTTTTATGATTCAATGTATTTTTTTTTTCTCTTCCATATTAGTCTCAGATGATCAAACGTGTCAAATCCTACTTAACCAAAATGCCGGTGATAACAGATGAAGATAAGCTGCAGGAACTGTCACTTCAGTGTGAACCTCCTCGTAAGTGACTCTTGTCCACCCCCACATCATTTCTATCCCCACCATCTGTCATGTCCTCCATTGACTGAAGTTTCATTTCACTTCGTAGTCAGGGTTATTTGGGCATCTCGTTCTTCAATGTTTTCTAACGGCAATGTCCAAGTTTCTTGGCTGGGGGATTTATTTACAGACTATTAACATGTCCTATTCCCTCCATCTAAGGCGATTCTGGACTGTCACCCTCACTTTGTCATGTGAGGCTATTGGTTGGATGAAGATTTACCCCTCCCCTTTCACACTGTCGGCAACTACAGTTTCTAATGTGGGTGAGTACCTGGACTTTGATGACTCTGGTTGTGTGCACCTCAGATGTAGAAATAGTCTCTTGGATCTACCTATCTATTCATTAGCAGGAAAGGACAGTCTTGGTTTGTTTCTTCAGCTTCCAAATTCGTCTTAAATGTTTTGGGATTCTGCAAAATTGGTATACATCAGTAATGTATAATGGATCATAAAGAAGTAATTATACAAAGAATTAATTAGCAATGTTAATGTGATTAATGGCGAAATCACATTGCTAACAAGACAATGAGACATTAACTTACTATCAATTCCTTGAATAACATGCTCCTTATATTTGAATTGTTGTCAGATCGAATTGATGATCCTGGGCCGAGTACTTTCGACAATTTCAAATTGTCATCTTCGGGGCATAATATTTCCATTTACTGCTAAATACCAAGACTAAATAAATGTAGTGTAGACCAAAAGATATTTTTAAAAATATGCTATTTATTGAGAGTTATATTATTTTGGAACGTGCAATGCTAGAGTTCTTATTTAAATGTTTCAAGTGAGAATTTTGTTTGAATTTAGTAATGTGATAAATCCACGAATTTTTTTTGTTGTGTGTGTTTTTCAGTTAAAGTGACATGGACTAATTATTCAAGTTATTGGTAGTAAGTTAATGTCTCATTAAGTCTTGTTAGTGAAGTGATTTCACCATTAATCACATTAACATTGCTAATTAATTCTTTGTATAATTACCTCTTCATGATATATACTGCACAATTTAATATGTATATTTGCAGATAGATGAAATTCAGTCTTCTGTTATTTGCTTCTGTCACTATTTTCTTTGGTACTTGTACATTGGTGTTGTATACCAACTTCTTATTTAACCTTGTTCAGACGACTAATTATTACATTTCAAGACAACTGGATGTGCAAGTGGTGTAATGGATAGTGGCTCAGTATGAGAAATCCAAGAGCTGAGTTCAAATTGTAGTTGGGTTCGTTACATTCACTTATGCTCAAATACCCTTGGGAAAGGTATGAATCCACCTCCTCCCACCAGTTATGGGTTAAATAGTATGATATATCTGCAAAGACCATTGTTATTCTCCCCACAAAATTGTTTATGTAATGATCACTTGCAAAAGAATTATTTTTGCAATCCAGAATGTTTTCGATTTAAATAACTGAAAAAGGATTGATAAGCCTTAAAAAATAGTCAACCACATATATATATATATAAAATTTCCTTATCAAGTCATGCTACCTGTGAGGAATAATATTTATATTAATATCTACTTAATAGCTCTGTTATTTTACATTCACCACTATTTTATTAACACAAGCACTCAATACCTTTTTATTTCTCTCTCTCCCTCTCTCTATCTATCTATCTATATATATATATATATATATATATATATATATATATATATATATATATATATATATATCTTTCAAAAATGTTTGGTTGAATAGCATCAATAAGTTCTGTCTGTCTAGTTTTTTTTATTAACTTTTTTAAATTAGTTGTTTGATATAATTAGTAAATTTAACAATTTTTATTACTGCATCACCAACCAGCCACCCGCCACCCAACCTGAGTACTTTTGAATGATGTTACATTCGTTTTCAAGGATTGTGTTTTGTGAATGTTCATGTAACTGTTTTTAGTTAATTCTGGTATTCCCGCATTTGCAGGAACAAATATTGATCAAAAAACAATGTTAAATTCTTACAATGGCTGCACATGTACTACACTCTCTTATAGGTTAACTTGTCATTTAGTGAAATTTGTGCATGCATAGATCAACATATAACAAATAAGCAAAGTAATATTAACATGAGACAAATTTTAGTAGATAACATCCAAATATTATATAGGATTCAATGTAAGGAATGATTTAAAATTCTGAAAGCCATTGTAATACAATAAAACCTACTGACATTAAATAACTTATCTTTTTCCCTTGGGGAAAAAAAATATAAAAATATGCATAAAAATTAAATTTGACCATTATAAATGTCATCACCTTGAGGGATTTGAAGTTGGGTCCAGCAAAGAAATTAACCAAAACAGTTCCATAAACATACGCAAAACACAATTCTTGAAAATAAATATAACGTTTGAAATTACTCTGAAAAAAATAAAAATGAACATTGGTAAATTTACTGATTTTATATAAAATTAATTTGGATATTTGAAATCATTAGTACAGAAAATGGATCAGCAGAACTTGTTGATATTATTCAAGCAAACATATTTGAATAATTATATATACTCCTTAACTTTCTCTTTGTGTGAATATAGAAAAATCCTAAGTTGAGATTTGTTCACTTTTGTTTAGTTCTTTTATTTTGTGTTTTATTTACTGATTGCACTAATAGTTTCATTCTTACATAGCTATCTGTAGTAACTTGTTCTTACCTGTAGTAACTCATTTTATTTGTCTATATTTATTCCAAACAATTGGAAAAATTTTTTTTAAAAATCCATTCAGAAAGAAACAAACAGAAACTGATTCACCTAATTTCAGCTTTTGACAAAACTTTCTTTCCTCACCTATACCCATTTCTGGATAAATAAAAATTAAATTCTTTCAAGTTTATTACCTGCAAGTCTGGAAACCTGTTATAGAATGGATGGGATCCGCCCAGTGTCGTAGGCACAGCTAGCCCAGGCATGTGTCTGTATTTATTTATCTATTTATTTGTTTGTCTCACACTCACTGTTCAATACTGCTGTTGCTGCTGCCTCTTTGTTTTTTTTAGCCACACTCATATTTTTTTTCTTTTTGTAAATTTTTGTTGTCTTTATAGAATTGAGTCTCAAAGTAAAAACTCTAGGGAAAGCAGCTCCATTTCCTTTTTTTTTTCTAGTCACATTTCTTTTGTTTTTATTTAGTTGCCATTTTCACTATTGACTACTTCTTTTCTTTTCTCGCTCTTTGAATCATGCACACATACTGATTTGTAAAATAATTGCTATAAAAGAAACAAATGTGATTAGTTGTGTCCCTTGATATACAGACGTATAGTGAAATGTGCTTTTAAGCTTTGTTAGATTTACGTGCGTTTAATTGTAAGTTTGTAATTATAGTTAATCTTTTAAAGTAGAATTGAAATAAGCGCTTCATTTGGGTTTACTGTAGAAGTCTGTATGCCAATAGAAGAATTTCTTTTTTTTTTTTTTTCCCTCTAAGTTATTTCTTTTTCTTTTCTGGAGATGAATGAACTGTTTGCATGGATGTTTTCTACAAAATGTCTTGAACATCATAAAATATAACTCCAGCTGAATATATTTTTAATATTATTTTTTTTTTGTATGATAATATTGGTTGCTGGGACTAAAATACTTGTTGCAATTTCTATATACACAACTCATTTCAATTAATCGTATTATTCAGAACGATTACTTTGCCACTTTTGTAAATGTAAAAATGGTCATAGTTGGCAATAATAATTTTGTTTTTAAAATGCAGTAATGCAGCACTTACATCGATTAACTGCGTTACTTAGAACGATTACTTCGGCACATATGTAAATGTAAAGAGTCTTAGTTGACAATAATATAAGTGACGGATGACTAAAAAGAGGCCCTGCTGATTATTCATGGCTAATTTATTTGAATAAAGCACTGACTATTGTTTGCGTCAGAAGGTAATAATTGTAAGTAAAATGATGCACTGAAATAAGTAACCAAGTAATCGTTTTAAGTTCTCTAATACCTGGTGCCTTTCTATATTCTTTTTCTATAAAAACTATCCTCTTCTTACTAAATTTCATTAGCCTTATATTTTTTCAGATTTTAAAGCTATATGATTAAGCAGAAAAATTCAGTTGAGTGTAGTCTTTCATTGCTTCTTATTTTTGATGTTATTTAGGGTTAAGAAGCCTAATTCACATAAATAAGATGTAGAAAATTGCATTAAAACTGATAAAGCCTTTTTACCTAATGTGGGATAAAAAGTTTAATACTTTTTAAATACTGACACTGTACCATTACTACTCTCACACACACACACACACACACACACGCGTGTGTGTGTGTCATGGTAATATTTTACTGTACACTTAATAGGATTAGCATAGCAGTTGAGAATCACTGCCATATATACTTGAGTATGGTGTAAGTTTTTATGATTTTTTTTTTTTTTTTTTTTTTTTACACAAATAATCGGTTGTCACATTATACACAGGTAAATTTTTTTTCTGGAGGGGTTAAAATTCATGCAAAAAAAGAATTCATGTGTTCCACTGTTGTACTTGAAGGTGGTTTATCCACAAGTAGATACTGTACAAAAAAAAAAATGATATTCAAGTAGACTATACTCTTATGTTATGTTAAAATTGAAATTCAATTTCTCTAAGAAAGCCGTTAAAATAAAAATCACATTTACAGCCACATTTAACATGATTCGCATTTTGTTTCCCCTCGCATAACTTTTGTTGTCTAATAAAATTCTTTTTTGATGTCAGATAATCAACAAATCATGAAAAAAAAAAAATTAAACTGATTCTGTCATTAAAAAAAAAGAAGAAATCTTTTAACTATTTAAAACTTTAGGATATTGTTTTATGTAGGCAAAAATATATTCACCAAAATTAGTGTTTTATATAGATAAAAGTAATTAATGTTATATATAGATAACAATATATTTGCCATAATTAAAGTGTCCTATTATAATTGTGCTTGTCCCTTCCATTGTTTGCACGACCGTTACGCCCTGCCATTACCTCATAAATAATGGCCTATTCTGTTTTGATCATGTGAAAAGAGGGAAAGAGACATTACTTGGTTTCAGGGAGAAAATGAAAGAAAGAAGGGAACATAGGAGAGAGAGAGAGAGAGAAAATCATATTAAACTGTACCTGTTGATCTTGGCCAAAAGCCCAAAAAGTGATTGTATTTTCTTGCTGCCCCATGCTGCCAGGATGTGACACAAGGTTAGTCTAATGTGGGGAGCCTAAGCATGTGCACCCGGGTCAGGTCCCAAAATAGCCCACTCCCTCAAGACAGGGTACTACTCAATATCTTCAGTTGCCCACTGTCCCCAGATCGACGCAACTGAAGAGATGAAATGTAGAACAACAGAAACTAAGTAAGGTAATAACCAAAAATCCAGTTACCATAAATAAAATCGTCTGCTGAATTATTTTAAATTATTATTAAGAGAAATCTTTGTAAGACTGCGATTTGGCTAGAAAGGAAGGAAAACAGAAATGTTTAACAGCTGTTTTAGTCAAATGGAAAAAAATTGTCAATTTCAAATCTTTTCATTTGTACACCCTTACTTCATAAAATAACAATCAGCATTCATATTTATGATTGTCATTGCATTATTTTGTTAAAGTTGTTAAATTCAAATATTTAACAATGTGATAGGAGAATTTCTACAGATATTTTGTCATTAACTTAAGAATTATGATTCATCAGAAAATTCCAATAGGAAAAACAATTTCCACGAGTCTTTCTAGGTTTTATAGTTATGAAACAATACCAATTTATTTATTTATTTTTTTTCGAGGATATTGTTTTGGGATTTATTTACAAGTGTGTACCTTACCCCATTTAAATGTTTTCTTTTTTGCCCCTTGTTGCAGCTACCCGTCGAAGAGACACATCACCAGCGCTGAATATCTCTGGGCCTATGGGAACTGCAGTAAATACAAACGATGAAAAACGCTTGTATCCAGTGGGGCCGAAGTTTGGTATGTGACTTTCATTTCTACAAATTTATCTTCATTTGCTTGCATTTAAAAAAAAAAAAAAATCTCTATATTTTCGGATATTTTTTTTCCTGTATTTTTTGTACTTAATATTATTTTATCATTAAAGAATGCTTGTCTTGTAGTTTTCGTTTTTTAATGTTGTAATTTTATTTAGCTATTTAAATTGAATGGTTTTTGTTGTTGTTTAATTAGTATTTACTGTGTCACTTATTTCAATTATGCATTGCCAGTTATAATGAACTGAGATGTAAAAATAAAATCATTTAAAAAAAAAAAAAAAAAAAAATATCGCCATGAGAAAAACCTTTTAAAAGTGTTTTTGTCAGTTAAGTTTTGTCAGGCATAAAGAGCACTACTGGTAATTTTTTTTCCTGGAATTGCGGATATTTCTTGCATGTTTTGGGATTTATCTTTATAAATACGGTGTTCTAAATCTCCAAATATTCCGTTTTAAGAATTCTAATTGTCAAAAGCTGTTATTTTTTTAATTCATTTTATTTTTTAGATTTATTTTTAATTCATTTTATTTTTTAGATTTATTTTTAATTCATTTTATTTTTTAGATTTATTTTTAATTCATTTTATTTTTTAGATTTATTTTTAATTCATTTTATTTTTAGATTTATTTTTAATTCATTTTATTTTTTAGATTTATTTTTAATTCATTTTATTTTTTAGATTTATTTTTTAAAACTTATTTCTTTATTTTATTTTTTCAAAATTTTATTATCTTTTTACATAAAAAAAAAACAAAAAACAAACAAAAAAACTATTTCTAAACTTATTTGAATAAATATTCCTGTCTTCACTCTTAGCCACTTTTGGTTCTTGCCACTTTGGCCGTATTGGCATAAAAGTTGATGACTAATTTCTGAGGTGGCTGTATTTTTTCTCTTCTTTGGTTATTTTTTGTTTTAGCACAGTACCTACCTACTTAGTTTGACTAATAACTATTAATGAAGAAAATTATTGGTTGATTTCACTTTATCAAATGTACCCATTTTATTTTTAAAATATATTTTAATATTTTTCCATTGTACAAGGAATAAGTAATTCGTAAGATTAATTCCAGTCATTGCTAAATTTATTTTCTGAGATCTGAGAGTTGCATTTAGTATCTTGTATTGCTAAAATCAGTCCAATTTTAGAAGTTACTGTATATTTTCGCGTATAAAGCAACCTTTAGATAAGAGAAGGTCAAAAATATAGCAAATTTTCATAAATTTATCCTATACCTGTAGCATAAGATGACTGCTTATTGATTATATAAAGATGCTATTGAAAATATTATTTGCTGTATTCTTAGAAATTTAAAATAAACAAAATAACAAAACCAATTCTATATCACGTTTTTCCGATACATGTCCCCGAAAAGGGAAACCATTGTTTTGTTTAAGTTTCATTATGTAATCTCTTGTGAAGACTGATTTTTCTTCTTCCTCTTTCTATTATTTTCTGATATCTAAACAATTAGAAACAGCCTGCTGGACTAATGACCATCTAATTCATTGACGATCAAAAAATACCGCTGATAATGTTCAATAATAGTACATACCACTTTGCAAATTTTTTATCCAGTCTTTTATTCATTATTGAAAGTTTAGTAAAAGATAAAGGTTGCAGTGAATTGCAATCATAATTCAATGTTTGCATTTTCTCAGCTGAGCTTGCATGGATACAAGTTGATTTCATTGATATGGAATTATTCTTCAAATAGGCAATTTATTATGAAGTTATGCCAGTAATATATAAGGAAGAAATGGTTTTAATACTTTTATTATCAGTTTATTTGATAATGTGATGCCTTTCATGTATGTTATTTGTTATCACACCGAAGCTGAGGTTAGTCTACTGACAAACATTCAAAATTTAAGGTTTCTTTTTTAGAATTGTAGTATGAGATGACCCCCAATTTTTAAGGGTGATTTTGGGGGACTTAAAAGTTGTCTTATACGCGGAAATATAGGGTTCATTTATTTTTTTTTTTTTCTTAACATCCTGGATAAAGTGTTTTAATTTTACAATTCCTTCCAGTCTTGATTTGGTTGTTCATTGTTGCGGATGCTTTTAATGCATCCTGACCTGGGTATCATTTTGCATGGTTTGCTTCTTTCCACCCTATTACTGAGGGGCGGGGGACCATGGTCAGTTACAGTTTTTAATTAAGGGTTGTCTTTCTCCTAGACTGGTTGAGAACCCAATTTTCTCTGCTATTTAACCCATAGCTGAGGGAGAAGAAGTGGATTCATAACCTTTCCCAAGAGTATTTGCGTATAAGTTAATGTGAGGAACTCAACCGGAATTAGAACTTGACTCTGATTTCTCATTTTAGACTTCGATCCATTACACCCCACCCTGACATATCTTTTGTCCATGATTCTCATGGAGTGGTGGAAGGGGTTAAAAAAAAAAAAAGTGACGTTGGTAGGTACTGAATCCTCTTCTGGCCATTACTTGAAAGCTGAATACCAAGCCATGAGTCATCCATCCTCATCACAAGGATGAAGCCATTCACATCTTGAAAGGTTGTCATCAAGGTTGCTAAGAAGTCCCATCTACCCCAGTTTTGAAATCTGTATTCCTTCTCCTAGACAGACTGCCAACCAAGGCTAATGAGCTCTGTTTACCCCTTTTCACATTATATACTTATATTTAATATTGCTGATAAATATTAAATCATTTCCAAGGCTTACAGCCACATCATGTTAAAATACCAGTTCCCATACCATCACTGAAGTTAAGCAACTTTGAGACTAGTCAGTACCTAGATGGGGTGACTGTTTGGGAATACCAGGTGCTGTAAGCTTGGATGTGCAGATAGTATAATGTCTCAAAATTGTTAATCAGAGAACAGAGTTCCAATTCCCATGGGTTTGTGATATTCATTTATATGCAAATACCCTTGATATGAATCCACCGCTTCTTCTCCCAACTATGGGTTAATTAGTAAGACTTGTATCAGTAAACCATTATTATCCCCCACCAAGATTCTAATCTAAAAATATTTCTTGGCTTTAATCTTTATCATACTGACTTCATTTGCTGTACAAAAAGTTTATCCTGCCAATGAAGGTGACTCTGATCCCTGAACAATAGTGTGTTTGAATTTCATAGTTGTATTGTCATATCCTGCTATGGCAACAGAAAACAACTTTGAATGAAATGTTAATAATACAGAGTGCTAAAATAAACCATAGAAAATGAATCAATAAAATCTTTGTCAACTTAGAGTGCAGTTCCTTTTTAGTTTAGCAATAGCCATGTCCCCTTCCAGTATCCAAGTACTTGATGTCTATAAAAATATCAGGCATTCTCCACGTGTCTTACCACAATCCTTACCACATTCAGGTTCCCAACTCAATCTCCAGCGGCCCTCTGGCTTTCTAGGATCTGTACTATTCCTCCCAGGAATTCACCCCCTTATAAGAGATACGAAAGGGGATAGAAGTAAGTGCTTCTATTGTTAGATTCTTTTTTTTCTCTGATCTCCCCTATTTTTTTTTTTCTCCATTTTGTTGCACCATTTGATAATTCAGTACTTGATTGGCACAAATAAATCTAACCCAAATTATCTTTTGTCTTTGGTGGTAAGTATTGTGTCTTCTAATCCAACATTGGGTCTCTCTCTCTCTCTCTCTTTTACTTTCTCTAATTATTCATCCAATCTTCAGCCTGGTTCTTTAAATGATCTTTTCTTTGTTTCTCTCTTGGTTTCTCTCTTCTGGATGCTCGCTAACTTTACTAACAAAAACACTTTGTCTTTCAATGTTTTAGATCTAAACATCCATATTACCATCTTGTATACAGCATGGTTTTAGTCAAGAGAAGTTTTCATTTCGGATGATTATCATCAAGTGTTTGGTTGTTATTTATTTGCATGGAATAGATATTGTCTTGAATGTTGATTTTTTTTTTTTTTTTTTTTTTTTTTTTCCTCTCCTAATTATTCAAGGTTTCTCACACTGATTCAATCTGCCTGCAAAAATATGTATTCATTTATCTCGTTTGTTAGATGCAAAAAAATAATCACAAATAAGGATTTATTTTGGGGTTTGTCGATATAGTCAGCTATTTTCACAAAACAGACTCTATTGTTGTCTCTTTAGCATGGGAGTTAGCACAAAATTATTTCTGTAGCATTATTTTTTTCTTATTTCTTTAAAATATTGAAAAAAAAATATTTCTATCATTTACTTTTTTCTTTGTTTTGTTTTTCTTTGACCTTTTCTTTTTTTTATCTCTTTTTTTTATTTCTTTTTTCTCTCTCTTTTTCTTTGTCATTTTCTCTCCCCTTTTCTCTCTTTCTCTCTCTCCTTTTTCTCCTCTCTCTCTCTCCCTCCCCTCTTTCTCTCTCTCCTTTTCTCTCTCTCTCTCCCTTTCTCTCTCTCCTCTTCTCTCTCTCCCCTTCTTCTCTCTCCCTCTTCTCTCTCTCCCCCCTCTCTCTCTCTCTCTCTCTTCCCTCTCTCTCTCCCCTCTTCTCTCTCTCTCCCCTCTTCTCTCTCTCTCCCCTCTTCTCTCTCTCTCCCCTCTTCTATTTCTCTTCTTCTTCTCTCCCCTCTTCTATTTCTCTTCTTCTTCTCTCCCCTTTCTTCTTCTTCTCTCCCCTTTCTTCTTCTTCTCTCCCCTTTCTTCTTCTTCTCTCCCCTTTCTTCTTCTTCTCTCCCCTTTCTTCTTCTTCTCTCCCCTTTCTTCTTCTTCTCTCCCCTTTCTTCTTCTTCTCTCCCCTTTCTTCTTCTTCTCTTTTTTCAGTTACACTTTCTTGGCTTAATTACCATTTACTGGATGACTTGAATAAAATGGTTGATGACATAGAATTATTCCTAATTAACTAAAATAGTGGTGCAATCTGATCACAATATTTTGGCAAGTACACCCCAGAGTCAATCAGATCGCCAAAACTGAACTATTAATACTACTCTGACTACTTTTAATGTTTAATCATCATAAGAAATAATACCAGAGTATATATATATATATATATATATATATATATATATATAAAATGTAGTGTGGCATAAGTTTGTAGGGCCGTTTTTTTTTCACCCTTAAAATAAATCTTTGGGCAATGTTTAACCTTTATGCTCTCATTAAAACCCGGTATGTCAAAAGGATAGTTATTCTCTTCACACAGCTATTACTGTATACACTTTTGACTCCTTCAGCAATGTTTATTTACAACATTCTAAAAATATATGAACCAAGTACAATGCAATATTTATTTGTTTTTTTATAAAGAAATAAAATTTAAAAGTCATTTTATTAAAAAAATTTATAAAAAAATTACAAAATGATCATAATACAATTTTAGAAATAATTATGAAAACAAGTTACTTTTTTTATTCATAATTTTATAAAAATATCAATGAACTATTATCTATTCTCAAGAACAAAAAAAATGCATAAATCTATTTTTATGTGTTTGGGTTTTATTAAAATTTTAATCATCACTTTTTAAAAACAACCTTGTGAAGGAAGTCAAAAATGTATTCAATGATAGAAGTATCAAAGGAATAACACTGTCCTTTTGACACACCTTTCTTTTTTTTTTTTTTTCATTTTTTTTTCTTTTTTCATTCTTTTTTTCATTCTTTTTTTCATTTTTTTTTTTTTTTTTTTTTTTTTTTTTTTTTTTTTCTTTTTTTTTTTTTTTTTTTTTTTTTTTTTTTTTTTTTTTTTTTTTTTTTTCTTTTTTCTTTTTTTTTCTTTTTTTTTCTTTTTCTTTTTTCTTTTTTTTTTTTTTTTTTTTTTTTTTTTTTTTTTTTTTTTTTTTTTCTTTTTTCTTCTTTTTTTTTTTTTTTTTTTTTTTTTTTTTTTCTTTTCTTTTCTTTTTTTTTCTTTTTTTTCTCTTTTCTTTTCTTTTTTTTTCTTTTTTTGCAGTACAAAGGTTAAACATTACCAACTTTTGCATTTGTCTATAATTATATGTATTAGATAGTAACGCCAGAATAAGACAGTTGTTGACTTAAAAATATCTTGTTTAATTGGAAACTAAATTTTAGGTCCATTAATTAGAAGAAACCTTTTGATGGGGGGAAAGCAGTTTTTTTATTTCATTTATAGTTGCGTACTGAGCCAAAAAGCTTTTGTTTATAAAGTAAAAAATTCATTTAACAACCCAATCAAACTTTTTGGTCATCTAATAGTTTTATTTATTTAGTTTCATTTTTTTTTGCATTTTAGTTTTTATTTATTTTATTTTTATTTTTTACATTTTAGTTTCATCTTCATATTTGTTATCTTTTGTCTCACTGATATTCAATATTTATCAACCAACGCTTTCCTCATGTTCTGCTGGCAATGCATGTTAAATTGGATTGATCTTCATCATTCTATGTGCTTTCTTAGAAATCACCATAGCAGCAGCAGCCATGTGTGCCTCTTCATCTGAAGAGCCTCTTGGCAACTGGCCTGATGGTGCCACTCTTACCCGCGCTCTGTGAATGCATGTTCATTTCTCTTCTTCCCAGGTTCCGAGTCTCCTGAGGCTGTACGAAAACTTCTGTCTTTATCTAATAAAGTCCGTCCACACAATCCCAAACATCAACACCACCACCACCACCACCACCACCATTCCTCTTCTTTTCCTTTAGCTAGCCCCTTATCTCCAAGACGACCTACCTCACCAAGGCAAACCAGGTCTGTTCCAGTACACCTCTCTCATGAAAGTTCTTCTGTCAACAGTATGGGACACCTCACCCGAAATTCTAGTCTCACGGGTAAGAATGGGTGACAATACACCCAGGTCTCATTCCTTCATCTTACCCCTTTCATTCCATTGACCACACCTGCTTCTGCTAGACTCACTGACTTAGGGGACATTACTATGCCTATTTTCTCGCCTCACCTGCTCTCAGGTATTGCCAACCAGCTTTGTTGGGTTGATGATAGTCATTATGATTTGCTATTTGCCCACTAACAACAGCAACTATCCGGTCACTGATGAGAATTTAACATGTGCTTAGTGTTTTGTATAAGTTAAAATATCAGATTTAGTTTGATATTTTAATTAGAAGAAATGTAAAAAAAAAAAGCTGTGTTCAGGTCAAATCAAAATTTTTACCTGTAAAATGTTACTATGGTAATTAGGTCCTCCTTGAATAGACTGATCCATTCATAAATAAGGAAAACTTTTGCAGGTAATATTTTTTGTAGTCGAGTATTCTTTAGATCTTTCTCAAGCTGCAACATTAGTCGGAATAATAAAATATCAAATGTATTTAGAAACTGGATCCTGTTTATCGCATCAAAGCAATGTTGTTAAATCGATCCCTGAATTTTACTTAGTTAAAAAAAATATCTATTTCACCAAACAATTACTTGTTTAAAATATTTTCATAAAATCTTCAGCGGCGGCGGCAGTGGCTTTATCTTGTATTCAAGAATTTAATTTCTTCTTTGTTGATTACTTCCTTTATGATAATGGCATTGATGACTAAATTTGTTGCCAATGTGCAGGTTCTTCCAGATACAACAAAACTTGCTCCCATCATCCATTCCCTATTGCTATTTGGCTTTGAAAGAGTTTGAGTTTGAAAGAAAAACAGAAGAAAATGCCAATGACAGGAATTTGTTTAAGGTGGACCTCAACTTGCCAGGAAGTGACCCACACAGTTGATTTCATTACCTTCCTCTCTGTGACACGTATAGAATGAGGCCTGCAGAATCCAGTTGTGCAATGGACTGATGCTGGCTCTTATAATTTTGAGTAGTGCTTTCTGTTGCATGTTCATCATGTGTAGCCCTCTCCATCTTCTTGCCTAAAATAAAACACATTAAAATGTATTTATCAGTTTGTTACTTTTTTAAAAAAAAAATTTCATAAAATAAAAAAAAAAAGGAAAGAAAATCTCCTTTTCATTTATGCAGTTTCAAACTTATCATTTATAAACAAACTGCTAATTTCCGATAACTTTTTAAAAAGTCAGGGATCAACATTGTATTAATATTATAAACAGGACCCCCTACTTCTAAAATAATGAATAAAAAACTTTTTTTCTGACTAATGTTTATGGTTTGAAGCATTTCTTGTCTCTTTTTTAACAAAAGTGGACCAATCGAAGTAGTACTGAGAATTTGTTTTTTAGCATAAGATTAAATAATAATTCCATTTTTATATAAGTTATTGGATATTAAAAATTGAAACACGATTTTCATTGAAGCAGGTTATACTTTTATTTATTTTAGTTTTTAAAAGAAAATTTTTTTTTTTTTTTGTATTTCTGTAACAAAGTTTGAACAGTAACATCTCATTCCACCATTTTTTTTTTATACGAGTTATTGATTGATATAAAAACTGAAACATAAAATTTTTATTGACGCAGACTACACATTTTTATTTATTTTTCTTTTTTAAAAGAAATTCTGCCCCCTCTCCTCATCTTGAGAACGTTTATACACTTAAATTGAAATAATTTAAATCGACTGACTTTGTTTGGGTAAACCAGGAGTATATTAAAGAGTAAAGATAACAACTTTGATATTTCAGCTTTTTATCCTGGAGACATGTTGTTTTTGCATGTCTGCTGTTAACTGAGATAAATGCAATAACTGCATGGTGAATTATATGTGTAGTAAATTTTATTATTGTGGTTTAAACCTTTGAGCATGCTGTGTTGGTGTCTTTTTTTTTCTTTTTTCTTTTCCTTTTTCTTTTTTGTTGTCTTCCTCATAAATATTTCTAAAATGGTCTTTACAGATGTTTATATTTTTACTCTTCAGTAGATTGTAAAAATGATACCAGAATTTATTTACAATTGTTTTAAGATGCAGGTAGTAAAATGATTTTTTTCTCTATCCAACTATTCTCTATTTATACTGACAATGATTTTTGTCTGTTCCTGGTTGTTAGAAAACTTCTTTTTTATTTTCCATACAAGTGTGACAATGATGAATAATTAAAGATTAGGGAAAGGATTTTTCTTTCAGAATAAAATTCTATTATTGAATTCTCTTTGGCTGGGCATTAATTACACACATGAACATTTATCTATCATGTATTGTATATTTGACAGCAGTTTTATCATTTAAAGTGTGTGGCTATTCCATGATATGTCTTGCATTTCATAAGATTTATCATGGAATAGACACAATTCTCTCCATCTCAATTTAACTTTTGAAAATCATAGAACTGTGAAACCAGTAAAGTTACTTTAAATATTTTTAAAGACTCCATTTTCAACTTTTTTTCTTATATTTTTACCTGTGAGTAAGGGATATATATATATATATATATATATATATATATTTATATATATAAAATGCACACTTTCTGATATTTTATGCAGCCAAACACTCAATGTAACTTTATATGCACTTCCTCCAAGGGTTTAATACCTCATTCAGTTTTCATGTTTGTCATATGTGACTGTGACACTTCAGTCTCACTAGTGATCTACATATAAGTCCACGTATTGCGCAAAAGCAAAGATCTATAGGATGAAGACAGGATTGTCTGACCACAAATTCATTTAAGAAATTCTTGTAATGTGAAAATAATTTTCAAATGCAATACGAATGTTTTTTTTTTTCCTTCACTTTATAAAAAGTTTTGTTTCACACATCTTGATAAATATATTGCACAATTTCTAACTGAAATCTAGAATCTTGTTACAGTCCATTAAAGCAACATTTTCTTTAACAATTAAGTAGGTTTCCAATCTAAAATAACTTTGATTTTTAACAATTTTCTTTTGAATTAAATTTACTTTCTTTTGTGTTTCTGATTCTTATAAATAATTTTTTTTCTAACCCAACATTGCTGGTTGAGTGGTGTCTTTATATTTCACAAGTTTTTTTTTTTTTTTTTAAATTATTTTTAATGCTAACTGCTTTTGAGCTTTTGGGTATTTTATAATGCTACAGTTGCTGCTGGTGTGAGACCTTTTTTTTTTTATTCTGCTGGTATTATTCGAATCTTTCTCTTTCTTGGAGCTTTCTCCCTCACACTCTCTTATGTCCTTATGAGGTACCAATTTACAATCACTTACATACCTAAACATTCTGCAAGGAATCCTGTTTGGTAAGATAATCTTCACAAAAATCATTAATAATATTTTACTACATTACTAACAAATGGTTTCCTAAAAGAAGTTATGAAAAAATTATATAAAAATGATTAAATAAGAATTAAAAAGGTTCAATACTTATCAAAGGTCAACTCGGAGTTTCGTAATTTTTTTTTAATTATAGAATCATTCTTGTTCAGAGTCCCAATGAATGATTGAAAAAAATTACAAAACTCTGAGTTGACCTTTGATAAGTATTGAATGTTTTTACCTCTAATTTAATAATTATTATTTCTTTAGCTTGTATTAAGTGCTTTATTGATAGAAATTCTGTTAAATTTAATAATTTAATATTTCATATCAAATTATTTAATTTATGTATATTATTTGCTAGTATTTTTTATTTTATCATTCATATATATATATATATATATATATATATAATTAGTTGATGTGAGTTTGTGAACCTGGGTTTCATGCCCTTGTGATCGTCAGACAAACTATATATATATATATATATATATATATATATATATATATATATATATATATATAAAAATTGTGTATTTGGGTATCAATCCATTTTTGACAAACCTGGATAAACATGTCCTCAAAAGATTGTTTTTCCCTATGACATTGTTTTTTTGTTTCTTTTTTAACTGCCTTCACTCTTTAGCAATGTTTATTGTTTTAAAAGGCAATGATTAGAATTGTAATAAAACCTAAACATATGAAAGTAAATGTATACATTTTCTTTGTCCTTGAAAATTGACAACAAACATGATAAACAGTTTTATATATAATGTGGTGGAGGCTGATGTATGAATTTTTTTTTTTTTTTTTTGGGTTACAGAAGCAAAAAAATCTATTCTTTAAGATTGTTATTATTTAGACTAAAGTAATTTTCATTTTTAGTTCTAACAAAATTTTTTATTCTCCCTTTTCTGTCAGTCATTTTTTGATCAAATTTTTAGTCCAAATCAGTGACTTAATGTTTTCATTTAATAATTATCTATATAACATAGTACAAATACTAAATACTTTTTAAATTTAAAAAATAAACAAAAAGAGAACAATTTATAGAGTTTCTGATAATATTCTTACCTATTATCAGAAACTCTATATCTTTTTTTTTCCTTTTGGGTTACAGAAGCAAAAAAATCTATTCTTTAAGATTGTTATTATTTAGACTAAAGTAATTTTCAATTTTTTGTCTCAAAATCCAATTCTTGTTTGGGTCTGTCATGATTGTTAATGATAAAATCATCAAATGAAAAAAAAAATTGATGAAACAAGCCAATGTACATTAGCTGCAAATTTATAAAAACATTACTGATAATGGCTGAACTATTATTGAATAAAATATAATTGAAGATTTATGCTCATTTAAGTTAAAAAGATTCACAAAATTTGAAGTTGGGATTTCTTTATTTATGTCAGGGTTAATTTTAAAATAAGGCAAAATAATAAAAAAAAATTAGAAATAAATCAAAATAAAAAAATATTAGAAATAAAATAAGGTAAAAAATATTAGAAATGAGCTAAAAAAATAAAAAAAGTATTAGAAATAAAATAGGGCAAAATAAAATTTAAAAAAATGTTTAAAAAAATGAAAAAAATTTGTGTTAAAAATAAGGCAAAATAAAAAAAAAATGTTAAATATAAGACAAAATAAAAATATATTGAAAATAAAATAATCTGAAAAAATAAAATATTAGAAATAAAATAATATTAGAAATAAAATAAAAAAAAATTAAAAGTAAAATAAGGCAAAATAAAAAAAAATTAAAAGTAAAATAAGGCAAAATAAAAAAAAATATTAAAAATAAAATAAGGCAAAAAAAAAAAAATAATGACTGTTAATACAGAGCAGCACCTGAAAATAATCAATGTCCAATTTGTTGTTACTTGATCTCCAAAAACCATTCATTCATTCCTTTATTTTCCCCGTTCATTTAGAAAACTAGATTTCAAAAAGAACTACCTGTTGTCTATAAAATAGAAACATTTGATCATCTTTTGTTTGAATTTCTGAGATGAGAAGTAATCAGTATTTACACTATTTTCTTGCGGACAATTGTCCTCATCTTTGTTGTTCTTATCACAACATCCATTGTACCCTATGTATCAATAGACACCTGATAATGGCTGAAACATTGTGATAAAAATAACAAAGATGAGAACTATAGTCCATATGAAAATAGTATTAATGAAGGAACACTTGAGATCAGGATAAAACCTCTTCCTTTCCTATATGGGTATTCATAGAATTATTTTTTATTTTTATTTTTATTTTATTTTTTTACACACATAGAAGAAAATATGGAGTGCAATTAAAAAAAAAATAAAATTGTATATAGTCATCATTGTGATTTAAAAAAAAAAAAATGCGGTACAATTATTTTCTTCAAACTGTATATACTAAACTATTTGCATTCTTTTAAGTATAACATCCACTTTGTTTTTTCCTTCCCTTGTCCTATGAAATTAATTCTATATTTTAATATTGCAATCAATCTCAGATAATTCCATTTTAATAATTGCTTTTGGACTCAAAAAATTTCTCACCGGTATTGCAGGCATTTCTATAAAAAACAAAAAATAAAATATTCTTGCCTTTAAACAACTTATGAAGAAAGCATATATGCCATAGTAGATGAAAAGATATAGATGTATATATATATATATTTTTTTTTTTTTTTATTCTTGGAAGTGATTGAAGAAAAATGTGTAATTTGCTTTGACTTGCTTCAAATTGTAGATGCTTCTCTGAGATATCCACGTTCAAGCAATCTGCCTCGTGACTTCCAGCATCAGTCTAGCCGCAAAACAAGGACTTATTATTACTACACCCAGCAGTAATTGGTTATCCCACTTTTTTTTGTTCGGATAACCAAAAACACACACACACATGCACACACACAAACACACAAACAAAAAGTCTATTATCGAGTTAAGTATTTCACCCAAGCAACACATTTGCCACTTCCAAAAGCCCAGACACATAGTTGATTAAATGAAATTGTTCCTAATAGACATTACAGTTTTATCGTTTAATTTTATTCACGTTTGTTTTTGTCAAAAGTTAATTGTTTATTTGCAGTCTTTTAGTGCATATATGGTAGTAAAGCTTGCAGGTTTATAGTATTTGAAACTTTGCTGCACATTGTTCACAGAATTTAGAAAAGGCATGAACACGACAACGTAGCTCAACTGTTTCTGATGAAATGCAAACTAACATGCAAGGCACATTATTATTTTGATGATGCTTTTTCAGATTGCTTGTAAAATCTAAAAACTAACCTTTGCCATATAAGGCTTCGCACTCACCCAAGCACATTTTTATTGGGCAACATATAACTTTTATCAGTTTCTGAGACAAGGTATTGTTGCTATTATACATTGATTATTTTTTTTTTTCTTTGACCAGTTTCTTTGTCTCTGTTGTTTTTGTTTTTTTATTACAATGTTTTCATTGCTGTATTCTTGGATATCAATTCTATTTGGTAACCTTAAACAGAACCCTTGCTTTGATACCAAATGGGATGGGTTGCTTATTATAGATGCCATGTCTGGTGTTCTTCAAATGAAATTTTAGAACATATTGTCACAAATCAAAGACAATTTATTTCAAGTGACCTGTCACCATCCTTAAAACCCTTAAACCAATTTTGATGGCAGTAAAATTAGATATTATTTCATTTCCTTCCACTTCCCAAATTCTACAAGAAGCTTTGACATCCAGTTTATAATAATGTCTAAAATTGCCAGAATTTCAAAACTTATCTCTGCCATTATTTTGGTTGCATGACCAAGTAGTCAGAATGTTACCATTCCAACCGAGAGACCTGGGTTCAAATCTCTCCAGGATTAATTCATCAGAGAGGTGATTTTTTAAGGGTAATTCAAGACAAATACTTGATTAATCCTGTTTATTATTTATTATAGGAGATTAAAAGATATGTTTTAATATCCCATAATAATAATCCTACAATCTCCTATAATAATCCTATAATAAATAATATTAAGCTCCACTTTGTATAGAGCCCTTTTTTAAAATTAAATGCTATGGACAGCGGAATTATACTCTATTTGTTCTTATCTTATACCTGGATATTAATCCTGTTTATCAGATTTCTACAGAAAAACTATCAGGTTCACTTCCCCTTTGCATTCTATAGATTCATAATTAGCAAATGACTGTTTCATAGCATATCAACCATTATTCTGTTTTTATACTTGAGTCTATAGGCAAATGATGATTATACTTGAGTCTATAGGCAAATGATGATTATACTTGAGTCTATAGGCAAATGATGATTATACTTGAGTCTATAGGCAAATGATGATTATACTTGAGTCTATAGGCAAATGATGATTATACTTGAGTCTGAGGATGGCATGCTAGGGTTACTTTTGTCCAGCACTGTAAGATGCTGAAAACTCAAGTAATGTTCTTAAATAGCTTTGTCAGATTTAACATCATGTGGATGTCCTTTATTATTCCAGAGAAACTTTTTTTTTTTTTTTTTTTTTTTTTTTTTTAAGAGAAAGATTTTATCAGTTTCAACTGATAGTAACACTAACTGTATGGAAACCACTAATCTTACCAAACATGAGTTCTTTTCTAATAGCTTGTTTTGTCGGACTTCTTGCCTGTGGAACTCCCTTCTGGTTTCTTGCTTCCCTGTCAACTACAATCTTCAAAAATTTGAACGCACCATCAATTATGATCTTCTATCTTCTTTAAACATTTTCTTTTATTGTCCTTTCTCCTCATTAAAATGATATCATTCTTTTCCACTCCCACTAAACCTGATGTTCTAGTGGTATCATTGGGGGGTTAAAAAAAATTACTGGACATGTTTGTTCTCAACCAAGACCATGTTCCTTCTGCTATTGGTTGGAATGTGACAAATATTTGACCATAGCCAGACAGTACAATCAAAGTTGTTGATTAAAAACAACTGAGAACTATATTGAGTCTAAGTGGTTTAAATTTGAGTGGGTGGGGGATGTAAGCATCAATATTGGATAATGATAGAATTTTATAATTTTTTTTTTTTTTTTTTTTTTCAACTTTTAAATACTGGTACCTTAAAGCAGGAGGCATGGTAGATAGTGGCTTGGGTTGAGGAATCAGAGAACCTAGTTCAAGCTCCCCCACCTCAAAGCTATGGGTAAATAGCATAACAGACTGGGCCCTATAGCCTTAGCAACCAGTCTAGGAGAAGGAAAACTGAATTCAAACCACCTGCTGCCTTGTAGGTCCTGCCACTTTAGGCAAAAAGTTACTTCAAAAACAAATTCATCTGGTATGATGTCTCAAAGAAAAGAACTGCCCCCTCCCACTACTCCTCGTACTTAGTACAATGGTTCAAACAATATCAAGACTGAGATACAGCATGGTGCCATGGATGTCTCTGGTTTTAGTCCATTTACCCATTGGTACTTTAGGCGATAACCTTGAAAGAAAATGGATGGAAGACAGAAATTTAAATGTTGGCATCAAATGATTTTTTTCTGTAATTATTATAATCAAGAAATTATGAAAATTAATTTGAATTGTTTATTGAAAGCAGAAAATTTAACAAGAAAGTTCACGATAATCATCTTATAAATAATGCAAAATAAAATTCAAAATGAGTTAATATTTAATTTTTCAGAATTTTTTTATTTTATTTTATTTTTTTTGAGTAATTATCATTATTAGATATTTTTTATTTGGACTAATATACCCTTCTCCTTCAACTTCCCAGCTGTGTGTTATGCTCTTTCTGACAAACTCCCACCACTTTGTATCTGGTCCCATCTCTGTCCTTTTATTTCATGTAGTTTCTGTATTTTATTTTGGTCAATGTTAGGCCATCTCTGTTAAGGTTTATTGCAAGATTTTGATGAGTCTATAAAGAGTGGATTAAATGGTAGCCTGAATAGAAAAACATTTTTTTAAGTTTAGCATGTCATTCAGTTCACTATCTCTTTCTTTTAGCCCCTACTTTTCTATTCTCTCATTCACCTGCTACTTTCCTTTTCTGATCACCCACTATCTCGTGCTCCCCCCTATATTGCTCTCCTGTTATCTTCTTCTTCTGCTCTCCCACACTCTATTGTTCTTCTACCCTCCCACTACCTTACTCAACCACTCAATCGCTCTCCTGCTACATTGCTGTCCATATCTGTCGCCCTCACGTCCTCTCACTACTTTTCCTCTCCCTCTATCTTGATCCTCCCTCTTCGCCCTTCCGATCTTCTTCCTCTCTTCCGATCCTCTCTCTGTCGCCCTCTTCCGATCCTCTCCCTCTGTCGCCCTCTTCCGATCCTCTCCCTCTGTCGCCTCTTCCGATCCTCTCCCTCTGTCGCCCTCTTCCGATCCTCTCCCTCTGTCGCCCTCTTCCGATCCTCTCCCTCTGTCGCCCTCTTCCGATCCTCTCCCTCTGTCGCCCTCTTCCGATCCTCTCCCTCTACCTTCTTCTCCCACTCTTGAAATTATAAACTATTTTCAAAAATTGAATTTTTTCTCTTGAATTAGTTTCTAAAAGTTACATATTCGGTATTTTGTTAGAAATATATTAGTACAACTGACAGTAAAGTGCAGAAATATTGTAACGGTCAGGGGGTTGATTTGACACTTTATCAATATTATAAACAGGACGCCCCTTCTACAATGACAAAAAAAAAAAAAAATCCATATTTTTTTAATTCTAATAAGTGCATTCTAAGGAAGGCCTAAAGCAGCATTTCTCAATTGGTGCACCAATGCATCCTGAAGGGTAGCTATTTACACACAAAATTAACAGAAAAGTAATTTATGAATTATTTTATATTTTTGAAAAAAAAAAAAATCTATATTTTTAAAAAGCTAGAGACGCCAAGAACCTCTAATGCCTTAAAAATAAATGCTTGACAACTTTTTCCTATTTTGAAATTATGGAACTAATTTTTTCATTACTAAGATTTAAAGTGCATCCCAGAGTATTGATTATTCTACAAGTGCACCCTGAAGTTTTTAAAAAAATCGTCTATAACCATTGGTCTAAAGAAAGCTAATGTACAAAAATTATTTTGCTCCTCAAACAAAGAAACACATTTCCTTATCTTTTTATGCATGGACCAGTATATTTAAGTGGTGCCAATAATTTGATGGTTTTATATGTTCATAAAAAGCTAATAAGTTCCCCCCCCCCAAAAAAAAAAATTGTTGTTCTGCTGTCCATGTATGTGTCAGTCTAGCATGCCAGCCAGATAAATGCCTTATGGCTATCAAAACTGAAGACAAATTCCTGTTTGTCAACAGGTTTATTGAAGACCTAAATGGTAAAACAAGAAAAAGAAATACCAATATAATCAGCAGGGGGAAGATGAAATGTAACAAAGATGAAGACTGAAACTAAGTGAAACCGAGGGTCTTAGTGGATAAGGAAAATAGTGAATTGTTTGCTACAATAATATATTACCATGTTGCAGTGTAAGTTTTGAGAAAGGAAGAAAGTTACATGAAGATACAGTTTGAGAATGGTGTGTAAACACTCGGCATGTGGTGAAAGCAGTTCTACATGGAGAATAGAACAGAAAAATAAATGTATAAAAGGTGGCTACTTTAGATAAATGTTCAAATGATAAGAGAGACCAATGCTTGACTTAAATAGTTATGAAGGTACATACCGGTGATGCTATTATTGGGGGTAAGATTTGGGCAGATGAGAAGTAAGGAACCGTATACTCTGTGTCTAGTTTATTGTACTAGTTCCAGTGATTACTAAGGGCTGACAGGAAGTCATCAATAATGGTGACTATCTAAAATGTACTTCAATTAAAAAAGAGGACAAAGAGAAATAAGACAATATAAATTCTATAATGTGGTAACAGAACAATATCGTCGAAATAAAATATTGTAAGAATAACTTTTTTTTTCTTTTTTTTTCTGTAAATATTCGGTGGAGGATTCCTGATCTATGTTGGTAGATTTATCAAGGAAGTAATCTGTTAATTTCAATAACATTTTAATGGAGGCCAATTTCATTCTATTGACCAACATGCATGATAGAAATTCATTTTCAGTTCCTGCCCAATTTTTAATCCACTCATTACAGCTTCACAATATCACCTTGTGATTAGTTTGTAGATCCTACACTAGTCTTTCTCTTTATTGATAGTCTTATTTACTTGTTGCTATGTATTATTTTCATTTTAACTGCAATTCTGCTTAAAATCTAGCTACTTGATCTATTTTAAATTATATTTCTTTTTACTATTTTATTCTTAAATATATAATGCTTTTTCTCATTTATTGTAATTTTGAATTCTCTATATTTCATATAAATTTAAATCCATAGTTCTTGTTTTTTAATGACTTTGCAAAATATTATTCTATGTGCTCAGAATGGTAACCATGTTTTTTTTTTTTTTTTTTTAGCTTTCTCTGTTATGCTTTTCTTAAATGGGAGTCTTGTACAGACAGAATAAAGATATGTCATTAGCAACTATAGAAAGTACTTAACATTTCAATAGATACTGTTGATTCAATGGTCACTATTTTGGGGTCAGTGGTTCAGAATCTGACCTTTTGGCAACTGTTGGCTTAAAGCTTTACTTGTAAATTATTTTATAGTTTTTTTGTTTAGTTTTTTTAGACTGAACAATGTCATATAAAAGGAAATCAAACCTGACTTATTACGAAGCAATGTGATTTTCATTTGTTTGCATAAAAGATTAAAAATCGTTTCTCTTGTACAATTATGTTAATACTTTGATTGTAATTATTATCAGGTTCTATAGGGTCATCTGAGTCTGCTAGTCCGACGAGCAGCCTGAGCAGTTACCAGCATCAGTATGAGACTGACTCTGGCCATAATAGCATTGCCTCCTCAAATTTTGACAGTCGCAGCACCAGCTCTGTTGGTTCTTCCAATTCCCCAACTCCAACACGACGTGCCACTAATGTTCCGCAGACAGGTGAGGCATTTTCCAAACTCTTTCGTATATGTGAACTTTTTTTTAGTATTTTTCTTTTATCATTTTGTGTACATTTTTATTAACTGTGAATGTGTGACATTTTTTTTTTGTTTGTTTTAAGTCACAACTGTCTTGTCTTCACGTTTCAAATATATTGACTTCAGTTTTCCCTGTTTTTGTATTTGATCCATTGTAGTCAGTGTTTTTAAAGATAACCATTTTCTAGTGTTACAATGCAATTTTTTTTATCACCTCCTTAAAATTCAACCTTTTATATTTTGATATTATTCTTTCCATCCAGAATAAAAATTAGATATTTAAATTGCTGTTATATACAATGTTTGCTCGCTTATATATTTTGGATATCTATTTAAATTTTTATAATGGTTTAAAAAAAAAAAATGTTGAGGTTAGTTAATGAAATTTTTTTTTTAAAGTGATCCTGAGTATCATTTTTTTATTTTTTTTTTATAGAATGATTTTAAAAATTTTATTTCTTTAATATTTGAATTTGTATATTCTACCTACACAATTAGGCTTTTTTTTTCTTCAGGAAATACAAAGCTTATTTGCTGCTTTTACATTTTCAAAAATTCTATTTCAGCTTTTCTTCATTATACTTATTCACTTTCTCAAACTTTGCTTAATTTAACATTTCTGCATATAAATGCAAAATTGCAGCCTATCTGATTAGCGAATTCTCTGAAATTTTCCAGGCTGTACAAGAAAATAATTTGATCAAATATTAAACTTATTTAATTTTTTACAAAATTATTAGTGTTTTCTAATTTCAACAAAAAAGTGACAGCTGATTTTTCTTCTAATCAATATTATGTCGCAATTTATTAAATCATTTTCATTACTAATATTTTTCATAATCTCACTGGACATTTTTTTGTGCTAAAAACCCGTTGCATTTTACTGTATAACAATAAACTAATTCAATACTTACATATGTAATAATTGGCAGTTAATTTTATCTAACTCTAAAGACAAATAATACCTGTATAGACTTTTAAAAAAATAAGAAAAAAATGTATTTTGTCTGAAAGATTTTACAAAAAATAAGCATTCAGTAAAGTAACTGTAGATTTGTGTGCAGGAAGTGAAGACACTAAAATTGGTGTTTCTTTCTTTTTACAATCGTTTTTTTTTTTTTTTTTCTTTGCACTGACACAGGCAACACGTTCTTCTCTTTCATAAACCTTAACCTTTCTTTTTCTTTCTTTCTTTTTTTTTTTTTTTCATTAACATCTAATAACCTTGACTCCTGTTTCTTAACTATACATTTCAATCCCCCTGCCCTTGATGTATTGTTGTAAATCAATGTGTCTTCCCAGATCTTGTTTTGCATGTTCAAATTTGTAAAACTTGTCATTGATTCTAATGGGGGAAGTGATTGTCATGACATGGCACGTTAATGTCTAAGCATTGGATAATAAATTTTAAGTCTGTTTGTGGAGGGGGGGGGGTGCAGTTTCACTCTGTGTGTGTGTGTAATATATATATATATATATATATATATATAATTTTTTTTTTTTTTCATGATTTTTTTTTTTTTTTTTTTATATATATATTGGTGTTACATTGATTGCTCCCTGCCATTTTTGTCTTGTTTGTCTTGGATTTGGTATTTATCATTGTGCCTGTGGATGTTTGATGTCTTGTGTTGTCTTAAGTTTGTATTAGCCAAATTAGCTGTCTGCGTTTCCTTTTCTTTTTGCTTTCCCAGTCGATTTTATTTATATTTTTAAGCCAAGAAATCTGAATTGTTTTCTACCATTTACCAGCTTACTAAATACTAAAATGAAGTGGGTCGTAAAAATATAACTATTTTCTTTACATTGCCATTTCTATGTTTACTGTTCTTGGCAATCATCAGAAGTTGTCTCCCTTGCCACTGACCAGTTTGCACAGATGTCGCTCTTTTTTTTTTTTTTTTTGCATTCATTTAAAGTTTTATTTAAAACAATATGGCATTTTCAGAGAAAATTTTCTGCAAGAATACAATTCATTCATTTTATCTACATAAGCTTTAACAGTAATCTTAAGTTTTGAAGTATATATTCCTTGTTTCAATGATTTATAGATATGTTATACATAGAAGGAATTTTTCTTATGTAACAGATCAGACATACTTTGTGGATGTACATCATTAAGACATTGGATGTAATAAAACAATTGCTTCAATGATAAAGTAGAGATTTGGGAAAAATTTAGGTTTTGTGAAAATTTCAGTATGTGGCATTTCCATTTAAATTTTAAAATGGATGAGGTGATCTCTTTGGCTTAATATTTACAGTAAAATGCATGGATAGTTTTCATTTATATTCTGTCATATTTTTTTCTTTTCCTGATGTTAAATTTGTTATTGGTTCTAAGCCATTCTTGTTATTAGATTGATCAAGTTATGTGGAATAAAAATTCAAAATGTTTTTTTTTTTCCTATTCTACCAATTTAATAATAACTTGGAAAATATTTGTTTGACGATAGTAAGTTCAAATTTTGGTGTTTTGCTTTTTTGGTGTTAT